CTTTGAAAGGTAGGTAGCCCAACTCGCCAGAAAGTATCAGTACCGCGTTGGTGACAAACATGGATTCTAAAATAATATTTGTCGTATCACTTTAAACGTAATATAATAGAAGTAATGGTCTTTACGAAAGGATAGATCTTAGTTAATTCACGTGTTGCTTTCTAATTATTAGAGAAACGAATCACTAAGCTATCTACTAATCGATTAACTAGTCCCGGTCATGGTTTCTTTGTCTACAAATGATACGTTTGAGCTTGACAACTCAAATTGGGTGAGGTAGCAGAGGTAGGTGCTGGTATATTTTGAATCTGTTCAGTTTAATTAGTCGTCTGATGTGTTCCTACGATATGACGGTCATTCGGTTACCACATGAAAAAACAAGGAATAAAGGTGATATAGTCAATACTTGATAAACGAGCGCGCATTGACAAGAGGGGCTTTTTATGTGAGTTACTTGGAAAACAAAAGACGTAAGCGCGGTCGCTCTCTGTGAATTGATCTTTCAAACTAATTACTGTGAAATGTGAGTAAACGAATTAATTGCAATCAACTGGTTTTCCCTCAACGTCTCCCTTTCGGTTATTACTATGAGATATTTGTATTAAACGAATCTATTGACCTCTATTGACCTTACCTCCTAGTGTGACGCTGACGGTGAGTATAGCTACCGTGGTTCGCTCACCGAAACCGAAACTGACGAAATACATGAACGCAAGGAATGCCATTATCACCAACTCCAGTACCACGAAAGTGAAGGCTGCAATCAAATATAACATAACAGATATTGACATTAAAACGTGTTATACTTTAAGTGCAACCAAATGGATTTAGGTCACATATATCCTTTGAATAAAAATTACCACTCAAGAGTCTATACAACCTAAAATAATCAGTATAACAGTGAAAGCGTTGAATAAATTACTTTGGAAAAAGTGTACATTATATTAAACTCAACTCACTCATCAACAGTTGACGAATTCATGAAATATAAGGACTAATTAATCTCGTATTAAATCAAATAACTGTAATTTATCAATTTATTGTCATAATCGAACAGTATATTATTTGTTATAATTATTAATACAAAGATCGAACACTCAGAAAAAACACTCAGAAAAAATTCCTTCGATCCAGTCGGATTCGAGCATACCGTGCCAGACGCTATACCAACTAAGCCACGGAACGAACCAACGGACCTCACGAATTTTTCTATGTGCTTGCGTCGTGTCTTTGTACTTGGTCTTTCAACGACTTTTTAGTCGTAGCGCTATCTATGAGAAATCTATTACAGATTTATCACCCAGTTAGTACCTTTACAGCTACCAGTCCTGGCGAGAGATGTCGCTATTCACTATATTAATAAAATTTTTATTGAATTGATATTCAATTATTTTATATAACAAACTAGTGGAGTAATTTCACAAAAAAATAATTGAATATCAATTCAATAAAAATTTAATTAGTATATTATTTGATTATTGTATTTGCATGCTTTTATTTAAGAAGGCCCAATATATTTAATTGTTACTCTATTTGAAGTGAATAAATGAATTAATATTATTATAAAATTGCGGATATACACTGAGTAGTGTACGGTGTGAAAACCCGATTCCTATACATTTTCACGATGGAAAAAAACAGAAACCTTAGAATAATAACGCATAGAATGATAGTTTCATATCAAACGAAGTGTCACAAGTGAGGCAAAAATCAAATTCATGTAGGCTAGTTTTAGTAGCACGTTAATTTTCGGATTTAGTGAATATTTATATAAAAGTACAAGTTGAAACGCGTTGCTTCCTTGTGGAATGTGATGTTAGTATCTATTTTATGTTTTTCGGACGTATTTTTACACTCATTTACCGCACATTTCGTCATTTTTAGCTAAAATTCTTGATCTGTTCGCGGCGCAAGTTGACCTTGAGCACTGAAGGCCCGCCCGCTCGTGTAGGCCCTTTGGGAGCGCTTCAATTTGCCTCACTTAGCGTGTGCGGACTAGGTTTCTATGCGTTATTATTCTAAGACACAAGCTTACTTTGCATATACCAATAATGTTTTTTTTTATGAACTGAACGAAATAGTACCCCAATACAAACGATACACATTTTTGAAATGGCTTTAATATCGTACGTAAAAAAATAAATTTTGAAATAAAGCCAGTGTCTTTGCCGATTGACCCAAAGTAAAATGAACCGTATTAGTATGGGAAAAACTTAGGTAGTATCGACCCTTAAGTAAGTAGGTTACATTTTTTTTATTTAGATTTATTTATCATTCAAATGAAATCAAAATGATTTATTGTGTACGCACGTCTAGAATGTCTTAAATAACATAGTTTCATTCGTCATCAACCCATTTATAAATCCCATTGCTGGATACGGGATTTCTCTCAGGTGAGGGTTTTAGGCCATAGTTCGCCTCGCTAGCACAATGCGACTTAATACGTTTTCCGAGAGTTGTGAACCTTCTTTGACGTGCAAGTTTCGCGGTGTGTTCGTTCTCCGAAAACTTCGCGGTAAATTTCAAAATAAATTACTCACATAAATTCCGAAAAACTCAGAGGTAAAGTCTGTTCCAATCATTTTCAACAAAAAGTAAACAAACCTTGCAATTCTAAAGCAATCACTCCGTATATCGAATAAGTAACACTTTCACGTATATTTTGAAGTTTTCGACTTGATATCTTATCACTTTTTCCAACAATGTTCATTTGAATAGCATCGTAAACCCGTATTTAAAAAATGGTAGTTCAAAAGTGAGGTTATTTTTCATCTATACTTCTATGACTTGTCTATGGTTGCATAGTGCTGTACGAAAAAACATTCCGTTAATTCAATTAAAGTTTTTGTAATCGATTGGTAAATCGAAAATTTTAATCGCAATCAAACGAGTATCTAAGTGTATGGTTTTGAAGGACGATTTAAAATTAAGATTTCCGAAATTTTTAAATATAGGTTTTTAAAGGTTATGTATTTTTACTATTCATGTAAGGAAAACCGTTAGTATGACTCAATTAGACAAATCGATTAATTCAATTAATTAATCGATTTTTAGTTTGCATTACAATTGCCAGACCTTTTATACCTGCAGCCTATGGGTCAACTGCACTTGGAAAGCTCTCAACTCTGTAAGAGTTGTTTATAATATATTCCGGATGTTGTTGCGGCTGCCACGATTCTGTAGCGTGTCAGGAATGTTCGCCGACGCTCATGTGGACGGATTTGCAGCCATCATGAGAAATAGAGTGGCATTCTTGAAGCAGAGTGCGTGGCAGCGGTAACAGCATCGTGAGTATACAAACTTCATGTGTACCCTAAACCCAGCACATATTTATAAGTTTGTAATTCTAACATTAGTGTGTAAGTTTTTCTTTGTTATACTACCCAATATGGACGAAGCATCCGAAATAAAGTATTTTGAATTTGAATTACAATTGGCCACCACTAAACCATCTATGGTCAGATCAGTGACTTGTTTACTTTTTGTTTAAAATGGATTGAAACGAAGTATATAGATTGGTGGCTCGGATTCGAACCCACGGCGTCTGCTTGAGAGGCGGTAGGTGAAACTATTAGGCTTAGCTAATAAGCAAACGGCTCCTATTGCTTCAGTATCTATTGCCATTTGTACAGCATACAAATCAATTAATTAAATGAAGTTTTAAGTAGAATAGTGTAGTCTGTATAGTGTAATAGTGTAGTGTAGTCAGGGTGACCCCTGTGACAGTTCATAAAAATCTACACAATTTATACTTGTAAGGACGTGCATTAATTTACGTATTTCAAAAACTATTTTTATAAGTATCGAGTTCTTAGGTTTTCGCGATTGTTACATATAGGAAATGAAACTATTTTTATAAGCCTCGCTTTTAAATGAATAAACAACCTTTGTTTAAGTATCACATCGTTTAAATAATTTGTAGTAGTTGTAGTATTACGAATGGTATAATTGAGTACTGGTGAAGGGATATTAGAAGCAGAAGGCAGACATCACGCCTTTAGAAGCAATATGTATTACAAAGAGCGTTGAACGCGAATGCAAAGTGCTAAAACGCGTGCCCGCGCCGTCTCTACACAATCCCTAAATATAAAAATCCCCAAACGTCTCGATTTAATTGCGTTTTTCGTTTACTTGCGTTGGCTGGGTACACGGCGCGTAGACATTTGCTTTCCGCGCAAAGGCGTTCACGAGCCTTCCGCTTTGCGTTGGAAAACTTGCGCGCCTGCTAGGTGCATCTCCTGCTGCTTTATGATTGGCCAGTAGTGTGGTCCTCCGCAAACGTCCCTGTAGCTTGCGTGGAAATATCACACTCACGCAACGCAATGAAATCCAATAAGCGGCCGGCGCAAGCGAGCAACTCGTGAACAGTCCTGCTTGCGCGTACGCGACAGATCTTTGCGTATGCGCTAAGCGATTCACACAAGCAAGTGAAAGACGTAATTATTTATATAGTTTTTTCAAACAAACTAACTACCTACGTATGACAGATAAAGCCATCATGGTTGATGTTTATGTTTAAAATTGAACAAAGCACTCTAATCTGAACTATAGCTGCAAAAGTTGTTAATTTAGATAACTTATTTATGATTTACCAAAAAGCATTGTTTGAAAAAACAAACACTCACAGTTTCATTTCCAACCATCGCAAAAAAATAAGAATTGTCGCTTACATAACAAAGAATAATAATAAATATTTACAGAGGAAGCGGGTAGTGTTTATAGTATTATTTTCGTCCATAATAGATGCAGCGATGAGTGTGGGCAACACCGAAATGACGGTGTACATCAACACGTGAGTGATGAACGTGGCCATCCAGTGGATGAACGGGGGACACCCAGCCATTATGTGGATGTGACGAATGCCTGTCTGGCGGTCTTTTATTAGTCGATATATCGTGTTCGATACTGTTGATAAAATTACTGAAACAAAAATATCATGAAACTTTGGTATAAATAATATCACCCATACAGACACTGGTTTCACTGAAAGAGCAGCGGCCGGAGGAGCATTTTTAGTGCATAGCATTTTGGATGTTATCTTCTAAAGAAAAAAGTTCAAATTGATTTGAAATGCTAGAATGTATAGTGCGGCACCGCGAGCAGTCGCGAGACTCGCGCGAGACTTGTAGCGACTAGTTCAAAGAAGCACCGTGCTAGCTCCTCCTCTCCTCATAGAGCTTACAAGAAAATTATCAGAATTGGGGTCGCGATGTCTTGGTGACACTGTAGTATTTATTTATGTATACACCTTTTTCGGCAAATATAATTTAGGGTAACGTTGTTAAAACATGTGAAGCTGACCTAGGCAAGTTAATGTAAGTACTTCAAAATTCTAATAAGACTTTATATATATAGCACATGACCCTAAATGACATTATGGTTTTCTCGATCGTCGTCGCGACAATTAAAACTTTATTGCAATCGTTTAGATATGAGGTTAATAATGACAAATAGGAACTTTAACAGCGGTACATACAGAACAAGATGCAAAGAGCCCACACGACTGTAGTGAACACCGTTTTGGGCACTATCTTGGCGGTATTAGTGCCCTGGAGCGGCTGGCTGTATGTGGTGATGTAGCGGTCGTGTTTTGCTGCCAGCAAGTTGCTTAACAAGTTCAGGGCTACCAACGCTGCGTGGCGTACTGTCGTTGAGTAGTATACCTGTTTTAAAATGTGACTGACTAGAATGCAGGTGGAAATACAAGCGGACCAATTAAATTACGTTAAGCCCACGGAAGAAAGAATGGTCTGTGGTTAATTTTAATGACTTCGCAATGAAGTCCGGTCATGTAAGGAGTACTGCTGCCACTTATGGGATGACTGTGCTAAATACCAACCTTGGCATCAATCGACAAGCGTGTCGGGAGGCTTATAGGTGACTCTGATTTAATAGAGGCGAACCTGCAGAGTTTTGAACACCGTCGTAAAGTTGTCTGCTTATTGTTATTCTACGGGATATACCACGGAGTGTGTGCGAAGGAATTGCATGATTTGATTCCGCCTTCCTCTTTGCATTATCGGGGGACTAGACGTGGTCTGGGGTTCCAACTCCTATGTTGTGGATATTCCCACGATTCGCTCCATTGTACAAAGGAAACAAATAGGTACTGTAGTCTAGGCTCTACTCTATGAGTAGAATCACTGGCTGAATGAATAGTTTTGTAATTAGAATGTGTTTTGAAAAATGAAGTAAGAAAAGAATAGAGCATCTTGATAGAACGAATTATAACCCAACGCTAAAAGTATGTAAAAAAGTCATTGACTTACAATTATATGGACGTCGGGTCGGCGCTAAAAAGTGTCCGCACTTGTAAGGCGCTAAAATCGTATACAGAGCGCGACAGTCTTCATTTGTTCTACGGACAGCGCGATACTGCGATGACATTACAATTTAAATTTCGAATAGGTTGACTTGGGACATTTTTTTCGTGGTTTTTGTATTAGACCCGTCGTCCATTTATTTGTAAGTCAATGAAAAAAGTGCAATAAAGTAAATTTTGAAGATTATTCCAGTTTATATTCATAAAATTAAAAGGAAACAAATAGGTACCCTACGCAAATACCGCCAAATGTCTTGGTATGACCCTCGACGTGAAGCTACTCTGGAAAGCCCACTTCAAGAAGAAAAAAGAAGAACTAGACATACGTTTAAAGAAAATGTATTGGCTATTTGGAAAATGCTCTTCACTATCTGTGTGCAATAAAATATTATTGTATAAACAGGTCCTTATGCCAGTGTGACTATGGTATCCAGTTCTGCAAAGCAACATACAGACAATACAACGCTTCCAAAATAAAATACCGAGGACAATTGTGGGTGCTTATTGGTACATACGAAATCAGGGTCTGCATCGTGATTTGGATGTAGAGCCTGTAAATAAAGTGATAATAAAGTACGCCGAAGGTCACGAACATAGACTTCATCATCACGTGAACATAGAGGCTATACGGCTACTAGACAATACAAATATAGTGCGTAGACTACAAAGAACTAAGCGTTTTGAGTTAGTGTAGTTAATTATAGTGAATTAAACAAAAACACATAAACAAAGTGGAAGACACTTCACCTTAACAAATATTAAAAGATGTTTTGTCAATGGATAATTTCTTTATATAAGGTACTTTTATTTTAGGAAATTATGCTAAATGAAAATTGCTTATTAGTCTTGTCTGCAGTGGCTAGATTGTAATTAGTTATAAGGTTTTGTTTTGCTTTATAACAAAAAAATACAAAAAGATTCGCACGGAGCGTTTCGCTTCCACATTTATATGGCACGCGGCTAGGGAGTGGCATTCTCTGCCTGCGGACTTGTTCCCCCCTATAACTTGGGCCTTTTCAAAGCGAGAGTGGAGACTGCGGGGACTTCGGGTGCGGAGGCCAAAGAATCCATCAGGGAGCTGGGTCGTCTGCTTAGAGATAGTGCTGTGCTCGCGCCTTGGATCCTACTTGGTCCAACAAATTTCGTCGGCCATTCAGCGCGGTAATGCTGCCAATGATAAGGGACGTTTGAGCCAGCTAAGATTCAGAGCAGTGCTTTTTCAGCCCTATTAGTTATTAAATTCACATTTAACAGGCACGTAAGAAACAACGGGCGTTTTATTTAAACTATATTTAATTTCGAGGACCGATACAGAGAACCTGCTTTATCGTCCTTCAATCTCTACAGATACTAAAATTCATTTTACAGTGTTGCCATGTCACCAGAATAAAAATGGCCGCTGGTCTATTACATTTCTAACATTGTTTAATTAAGTAACTTAAGACTCAAAGTCTCGATACTTCTGAGATTGAAAGCATCAGTAATGAAAATTCCAAAAAAGAAAGACTCCGAGATTTCCGGGATGGGAATGTCTTACGAAACACGCAATCTATATATTGTTAGAGAGTTTATAGGGGAGATGTATACAATCGGAATCAGTTGATAATGGTGATTACTACAAAATAACAAAAATCGAATGCGAGCAAGTTATGCCAATATATCAATGCGATAGTTTTGTGACATTCCCGTGCACTGATGGTGGCACACTCGGTTCGCGCGACGCGCTAGAGCCTAGCCGCTCATGCGATACATGCAGCCGTAGACGCATACCACACCTAGAGGTGCCGGTGATGATTTTATACTGATTTATCGGATATCGAAGTTATAACAGGTAAAAGAACTAATATTAATTGCTATTTCGGTAACTACTCTAGCAAACCATAAAGCTTTTAATGCCTGGGTCTGTCATTTAAAAAAATAAACAACTTCAAAAATACGTCACGACAATCGTGTGTGTTATTATTTGGGCTGGTGATTTCGGTGTTTATTTATTGAAAACATACCGTAAGTAGCGTTTTTTAAGTTTACCCTGAATATAAATGTTTATAAACTATACTTTAAGGAGCAATTTCATGGTAAATGTTAGAACCACTCAAACATAATATTATCATATTTATCCAAGCACACAAAAAATTTCATTAGTGCTTTTTAAGTGCAGGATTGGCGGTGTATTACTGCATTTTATTTGAGATGTTTTTGTTGGTAGTACGGAGGGTATTTATTTAGCAATGCAGAATAATAATTTATTTACAAAAACTTGTATTTAAACTGAATCCTTTTCTATTTTGCGAAACCAAATAGCCGCCATTTTGCGGTAGGAGGAGCGCATCGCGTGAGCGGATATAGAGTAATAGACGTGTGATGATTTCGCGCCATTCTAATCTATTTTGTTCGAGTAGATAAATCTGAAGGTAAGTTTTAACTTACTAAATTTTCATTTCTGTACTTGTAATATGTAATAATCGTAACATTTTAGAATGCGATTCAAAATCCATATTGTTATTATACCTTTAATTTTCTCATCAGGATTTTGTTCCCCTCCTTTTCGCCCATGTAGGTAATCGGAATCAGGTGACTCCAATTACCTACAAAAATCGTGATCCCCATCGCCCACATTACCTTACTACGATTAAACAAAGTATTTTTTGTTTGTAGATGCCCATAGTTCGTCATAGGAAGTCAAATAAAGCTAGCTGGTCTATGGACCATCTAGAAAAGGTTCTGAAGCTCATTGATGAACAGAATTCAATTCAATAAGGAAAGCCGCAAAGACCATGAATATTCCGTTTTCTAGCCTTCACAAGAGGTACACAAAAAAACCAACTTAAGGACCTCGTCTTGGTCATAATACCCACTGTCTTCACGCCTGAGATGGAAATAGAATTGGCGGATATAATCAAGAAAATGGCCAATGTATTCTACGGTTGCACTACAAATCAAATAAAAAGAGCAGCATTCGAATACGCTCAAACCCTAAAGCTGAAACACAATTTTAACACGCATTCAAGATTCAAAAAAGCATTCTTAAATGTTGCCTCCATGAGCAAGGCCGAAGCGGGATTTAAAATAACAGGCACATTTTTCATAAATCCCAATGTCTTTTCAGATGAAGATTTTATGCCAGCTGAAGTCGTTTAATCAGAGCCCATTATCGTTCAAGATCATGTTGAGTCTGTTTCAGAATCGACCCCCGCTGAAGCTGTTGACTTCGTTTCATTACCAACAGCTACAGTTCAAATAGAACAGGATAATCCTATTCCAAGTACATCCGCATTTTGTCCCACAATTCATGAACCAGCGATTGCATCATCATCTCAATTCAATATACCATCAACATCTGCGAACCCCCCACGAATTCAAAATTTCATTCAGATGCCTAAGATAGCACCTGTTCAAATGACAAGACAAGGAAGAAAAAAACAACATGCAGCGATTTTGACTTCGAGACCGATCAAAGAAAAAGGAGACAAAAAGAGGCTAAAGCTGTCGAAAACAAGGGAAAAGGGATGGGAAAGAAGAGCAAGCCACAGAGGGTTAATCTTGAGAAGGTTAAGAAGAAAATTCAGCAGGAATCTAATAATACTTCCACGTCAAACGTGAACACGAATGAGTTATGCTAGGATGTTGAAGACGCAGGTAACTTGTGTCTTGTATGTGACGTATTCGGACGACATAACGAAACATGGTATCGGTGCACTTCTGGTGGGCTTTGCGATTGTAGTGGGTAGGACTCTGTTCGCAATTATGCGTGCGATATGTGTTGACCACCATTGTCTACATGCTGATCACCATTGCCAACCGATGTTTGCAATGGTGATCGAAACCTTTTTTTTTAAATCTTATTATTATTCCAAAATTCATAAGCCAAAGTGATGAAAGTTGATAGTTAGTTCATAGTAGATCTCAATTGATAGTTTAAAAAGTAAAGTTTATTATAAGAACAAAGCAATAAATAGTTGATTGATCGATTTGATTTTATTTCAATTCTCGCTTAGGTGATCCTCATTAGCTACATCTCCCCTACATTAAAAACTTACCTTGGCATTATCACCTTTCAATTCGACTCCGGCGATGGATCGGCTATCCCGGTCTACTCGTAACATCGCTATTGAAATAAAGTACAAAAAATAAATATTACGTCACGCTAAACACTTTGGATTTTGGCCAATGTTAAATTTAGACCTTAAGTATGAGGTCAGACGAGCGTAATTTTATGAGTCGCGTAGTTTGAGTTGCGTAGTTTGCTCTGCATTCGGTTTTAAAAAGTACGGTTTGTTACACACGCCGACAGCCGACTCACGGGCGTAACGACGACTGACTTTCGGTCGCATCGTGTGACGGGCTGGCGCGGGTGGAGGTAGGGGTGAGGGAAGGGGTCACTTTGGTATAGGATGCGCGTGAGTTTCTTCGTTTCTTGCGAAAATGTTCGATACGGAGATTAGAATATAAATAATTGAACAAATTACTTGATTGTTATTATTAGTCTTTCCTCTGGACTGATGGCTTGTCGCATATTTGTATCTGTCTTAGTAACAAAAGGTTTTAGTAGGTTTAATAATTCTTGAAAAATATTTATTGGCATGTGATAGTACTAGTAACAAATTCATCTGTATGTCTACATAAACTTGTATCCTAATATATGAAACTGCCCATACTTTAATCGTTTCATATTGAGTGGACGTACCTAGCTTCTTTTTCTTTTTCTAACAACGTCTTCTAATGCTTCATAAACGCATACTATTTTTAATTGATCCATTGACTATTACGACACAAACGCCCCGTATAAACGCTTAAAAGCAACGGAACAAAAAACGTTCATCTGGCGCTCCAACCGAATTTCGGTCGAGCTCAAACTGCGCAACTTAAAAAGCGCAACTCACAACTCACAAAATTACGCTCGTCTGTCCTCACCCTAAGTGTCATGTTTGACATACTCTTGATCGTGTACTTATTACCCCTATTCAAACTCAACGTAGCCGATATCAAACATCACGCTTGAAGCGAAACATAAGCGTGAAGTCAAGAGACGTCACGAGACGACTAGTTTTAACCGCAAGCGACGTATAAGTAGATTTTATTTCTTAAGTATAAAGTGTAACATGCTCTTCACCGCGTACCATCAGTCATATTCGCCGTTTGTTGAAAGTCAACGGTACCAAACCGTCGAAAATTGTTTAAATACTCATGGTCCTTATAGTCCAGTTTATAAAAAACCCTCGGTTGCTTCTTCATATCCTTAAAGATGCCGAGGTCCATGGCTCTTCTGGTACCAATTTCAGGTTTTGGTCGATCGTTAGATACATATGTAAAGCCGAATATTAATATGATTGGTATTAGCAGTTGCTGCAAAAAAGAAAGTTACTCATTACAGGCCTAACGCGTAACTGTGTTGGGAGGAGTGACAATATTTAGTAGCAGTAGAGCTCCTTGTGAAAGAGTCGTCCAAGGGAAGTTAGTCAAGTTTAGACGGGTAAGGGAGCTGGTGAAATTACAGGCACATGGGACTTGTCAACTTATGGCTCAGGGTGATGGGCGCAGTGGCAGTGCCCGTCGGATCTTTGCGATTTAAAGCTCTGAAGGGCACTGCAACTGTTATGGATAGGCGTGTCGCTTACCACCAGGTGTAGGTACTTGTTCATACTGCCACTTGATATCATAAAAAAACAGTTGTCGCGCTGTTAAAAAAATAATTTCAATAAGAATTTTTTGACGATATTCAATAACAAGTTGATTAAAGAAATAGCCTACCAAATTAGTAAATATTGTTGTTATGTAAAAAAAATATTTCATTGATAATTGAAATGTACAGATAAACCACATGGCACCTTTTTCAATCAACTAGTTATTGAATACTGTCCATTGACTTACAAATAAATGGACGACGGGTCTAATACAAAAACCACGAAAAAAATGTCCCAAGTCAACCTATTTAAACGTAGTGACATGTAAAGGAATATGAAAAAGCTAAAACGTTGAATTTAAAATGTAATGTCATCGCAGTACTGTCTAATTTTGCTTGCTTCGCTGTCAGTCGAACAAACGAAGACTAAAGCGTGAATGACGCTCTGTATACGATTTTAACGCCTATAAGTTCGGACACTTTTTAGCGCGCACCCGACGTCCATATAATTGTAAGTCAATGATACTGTCAGAAAAATCTTGAAGAAATTATCCCGCGTGCAGCTAGACATAATTGTTAAGTAAACGACGATATTTTTAGGGCAGTTCACAACACTAAATTAACGCGTATGAAATGCGTATTCCGATGAGGCAATTTTACCAATCGTCCTATGAACATATTTAAGATAAGGAGAGACAGGAAATGAAAGTATTTTTTTCTGATTTAAATCGCGTATATGCTGGACTGCCACGCAGTGGTCTCCCGGGTTCGATTCCTGGGCCGGGATAAATATTCCTATGGCCTACATTTATTTATCGTGAGTTTAGGTGTAATTTGAATAGAATAGAATCGAATACGTCTATTTGCCAGAATACAGTATTTATACAGATCTTGAGTAAAATTAGGCACATTGCGTTCAAAGTGCAAGGTGTGCAGGTTTGTTAGTGGTATTTCACATTTGTCTCTACAATTACAAATCAATTTGCATTTCAAATTAATCAATTGGTATTTGTAACTGCTAAATATTGTTTATTTTAAAGTATACAAGCAATGTGTGAAAAGCCATTTTATCAATTGTGATTTAAAAGTATGTCCATGTAGTTAGTTAATTAGTTAGATAAATTATTACAAAATCCTTATAAATAAATATATTGAAGCAGTTATTCTTAAAAACGAGGTTGTGTCAATTTCTTTTCATTTTAAACAATCTTTCATATCATATATACACAGATCACATAACAAGTCAAATAATTTATTTTTAAATATGTTTAAGTCTGCGATCGCTGCAGAGTGTCTTTGTGGTTGTCTGTGTATGTCCATGGTGCCCACGACACAGGGAATCCCTAGTTCGGAGCTATGATTGTGTGCATTATTATTATTAGCTTTTTCAAGCAACAGCGTGGCCTTGGCATCTGTAAAGGGCTCGAAATGTTGGTTTCTTTGAAAAATCAAATATACGCCATTAAGATGGGAAAAAATGGTTTCCTTTCCAATGTGTAATAATGTAAAATTTAAAAACTCGTTATAAGGAGAGATTTTACCAAGAAAAGGAAACTCCACTTTCTAAAGTATAAGTACTTAATATGCCTCTTCATGAGCATTCCCATTTGAATTAAGAGCAGGAGACTGCCCCTCACTTTCGGATACGTTGACTCTGAAAAAAAAGTGTGTAGATCAGCAACAAGTACATTGACGGCCTCCGTGGCCGAGTGGCTTGCACACCGGTTTTCATGGTGTCGCCATCTCTGAGGCTCCGGAATCGATCCCCGGCCGGGTCAGTGTAGAAACTAACTTTTCTATATTATCTCGGGTTTGAGTGTTTGTGGTCCCGTCGTTGTTTCCGATTTCCATAACACAAGTGCTTTAGCTACTTACTTTGGGATCAGAACAACGCATGTGATGTTGTCTAATATAATGTAGTCAATTATTTGGTCAAATGTAAGTTGTCCGTAAATGATAGAAAAATTCGTAAGATCCGCTGGTTCGTTCCGTGGCCTAGTTTAGCAATGCGCGGGTCGAATGTTTTCGATATTCGATTTGTTAGTAATTACTAATCCTGACATTTGAATAAAAAATTAGTAACCTACTAATGTTCGTATTCGAATGATCTGAATGATCATTTCTTACCAACCCATAGATTCCACAGAGCATGACTGTGGCTAGCCCTCTCTGACATAATTTAAAGTAAAGAAGTAAAAATAAAAATATATATATCGCCGCTTAAGTCGCCCGTCTGTGTAAAGGTTAGATGATTAGCGACACCATCGCTACTGCATCGCGACTGAATAGCTGCAGATGCGATAAAGTCGCCGTGTGTCTTAGTGCCTCCACGTGAATTAGATGTAGAGCGAACAGTAGGGCTAACACAACGGTGCGTAACTTGCGCGAGACCGACATAAAGCGCGAGATACTGCTATTCTCGCATAGAGATCCCGGGCTTTATGTCGCTCTCGCGCAAGTCGCGCCCTGTTATGCTAACCCTACATAGTAATGATATAGAGAGTACCGTAATATTGACGGGACAAAAAAACGGATTTGAGCTAATAGATGGGGGTTACTGAGATGTCCCCTTATTAGCCTAAAGATATATTTGAGAAGCGCATATTTTGGCCTGATTTTAGAGATCTTTGTTGCTTTTAATTCGTAACTTTTAACTAGACAATGACATTGACAGCTCGCAAAATTGACAAGGAACGTTCCGTTTATACCCTATAGGATGGAAAAAGTTCAGCCACATGACTTTTTCTTTTTTTCCTCGCTCTTTTGTTATGACAAGTTTTTTGGCTAGTGCCTCATGTACTTTTTTTGTTTTTATAATAGTTCACTTGATATGTTTATATGCTTGATATGTCGCGCCTCTTTCTTATAATGATACACCTATTGTATTTGCACCTCATGTTGTGAATCTGGGACTACACATTGATAGTACTTACTTTAAGCTAGAAACCTCAGATTGCATTAACCTGCATTAGTCAGAAGATCATTGGTACCTTAAGATCGTTCTACCAATTCAAACACTTTCTTCCCATCTCAACAAAAACCTCTTGGTACAGGCGACTATTTTTCCTATCCTTAATTATGCTGATGTGTGTTGACCCACCCAAGAACTTCTCAACAAATTGAATCGCTCTAAATCGAAAAAAAATTTTAAATTCTTATTCTATATTTAATTGCGGTAACCATGCTTGATCCAAAGGTCATTATTGACTTGCACTACACGTGTCACAGCCACTGATATCGCCCATACGTTCTAGTTTCTCACGAAATGCAACGTGGGTTAGTGAAAAAAACAACCTCTACCATGTTCACCAGACCCTGCATTACCATGAAGTGCGTTCCATGCATCGGCATGATGTGAAATGTTTAGTTTACGTAGATTACGAGTATTAAAAATCGTCTCTGGTTTCTTTCTGCTTTTTCTGTTGTGAAGAATGTGCTAAGTTGAAGTTGAAACGAAACTCTGCATATCTGTGGCTGGCTCCGGTACGGAGCCTGCCACCAGCTGTGGAGCTAGGTACTTCTAGCATTACTTTCATGTAAAAAAAAGTTGGTTAGTACCAAATCTAAGTTATAAAAATCTTTTTTCAGTCAACTTTTCTAACTAATGTAAATAAATAGTAAATTATAACAATACTAGTACATAAACATAATTTAAAAAATAGGTAAATAAGCGATCGAGAAAGATTACGTATCGCTCGGTGAAGCGAGTGGCGGGGTCACTGTCTTCCGCGGTGAATACACTTGGGGACAATTTTACAAAACTACTACTACATACAATTAGCCAGAATATTGAATAGAATATTTTTAGATGATTTACCATTATTTCTATTATTATTTTCTTAAATATCGCGAGAATGCAAATCAACACATTGTATAAGGATAGATAAAGATTTTTGTACAAAAACTGCAAAAATAACTTCTGGACTGGATCAAGCACAACACACAGGGCACGAATTGATAATGACTCCCAAGGTTTGACTTTAAAATAGAATTGTACCTCGTAATTGCCTGTCGTCAGTATCCTCCGTTAACGCCGTTTCAATGTCACTGCACAATCTGGAATAAAATTGTGTAAGATACCACTTGTGAATAGCAATGGGGTCGGCAGACAAAAATGGCAGTCACAATGGCTACACGCTGTCTTTTTTCAAGATGGAGTAAAATGATATTTCATTGCGCAAAAGTGTTGCTCGCAAGTTCGTAGGTTCGCTCGTTCCATCGAGTATATAACAGGCTCGTTCGGTTTATAGATATACAGACACTGCATTTAGAATTGTCTATTAAAAATACAAAGAGGTGACATATTCCAAATGTCATTTTACTCCGTCTTCAAAAAAGACAGACTATAGATATAGGTACCTACTGTAAAACATGTGAACGCCGATTTATCGTAAGCGACATTTTGACCTACACTTTCAATTGTTACTTCTACAAGACGTGACAATAACTTCATACTTATAACAATGTATAATTAAGAAATCTGTTTACATTATTAGAATTGCTTCAGACTGACAATAATGCTAGTATACATTTTTTTAATTTTTCAAATAAAATTTAAAATTTGCATGCCAGTCTTGGTAAAATATGAATCAATCAATCAATAAACAGCATTTTCTATGGCAAATGATATTTTAAACTATAACGGACAAGGACGTATCGACATTTCCCGCCTAAATTACATCGAATAAAAATATAGCAAAAGCTAAGTTTATCGTTAGCTCAACCGTTTTTTATATTTCAGTGTAACCTACAGAATCAATGTTAAAAAATCGTAACGTAAGCGACCCCACTTGTTATCGCAACGCACATGGGCATTTCTCCTAGAAGGGATCCTAGAATTCTCTGACTTCGGTGGTCGAATTTTTTTCTTCATTTCAGGAAAAACATTGAGCGGACAGGAAAAAGAACTCAAACTTACATAAGATTCCGTTAACTGGGTAATTATACTTTGTTTCAATCCATTTTGAACATAAACAAACCTGTTTGGTTAAAATTCTAGAGCAATCACTCAATAAATCAAATAAATAACACTTTCACGTATATTTCGAAGATTTCGATTTGATATATTTTTTCCTTTTTCCAACAATATTCATTTGAATAGCATCGTAAAATCGTATTTGAAAAATGGTAGTCCAAAAGTGAGGTAATTATTCATCTATACTTCTATGACTTGCCTATGGTTGCATAGTGCTGTTCGAAAAAAAACATTCGGTATCAAGTGTAAGGATGTGAAGGAGGATTTCAATTTAGATATCATTCGATTGTGATTGAAATGTTCGATTTAACAATCGATTACTAAACTTTAATTGATTGAACCGAATGTTATGCTTATATAAGTTATGTTAGGAAAACCGCTAGTATGACTCCATTGAACAAATAGATTCATTCAATTATTTAATCGATTTGTAGTTGGCGTTACAATTGGCCATCACTAAACCGTCTACGGTCAGCGACTTGATTGTTTGAATTTTGTTCAAAATGGTTTGAAACGAGGAATAGATTCTTAATAGTTAATGACATTTGATCCACCGAATTCTAGAGCACCCGAGAAGGCCACTGTGGGGTTTTAGCCGGTAGAACCTCTCCGCTGTCCTAGGAGGATTTCGCCATGCAAAAGAATAGTCCTATTGGTGGCGGACATTGTCATCAGTTAATTTTGGTAGCGCCAATTAGGCTGTTGCCAGCTTAGGAGCTACCAAGGACAAAGCGTTTACGACGGCGCACTTACTTCAAAAATACCTCCTCGAGAGTCGAAACACCGACTCCAATAGAATTTATTCCAAGATCCAATCGTTTGTTTTGTAACTCCGTGAATAAGGCCGAGAAGTTTTTGCTGCTGGCGGACGGTAGTGAGTACTCGAGGGTGCTGCTACTTCTTTCTTTTAGTGTTGCGTCAGGTACGTAGGTAGTTACGAGACTTGTGATGGCATTTTCTTGTTGTAGTCCGGTCGTTGTTAGGGTTAGGCGGTAGCCGGTACCTGTGGGGAAAAGACCACAGAACAGATATTACAGGATGTTCATCACTGGAGCTGTGTCGTCAGTACTGTGACGACTAAAAGATCGCACACTATTAGAGCGAACGGAGATCGCACTAGTTTTGGGCGAACGATTAATAACGCGGTTTCCGCCACTAGTCGGGAACGTTCGTGAGATGCGCCGAAGTTGAGACTTCGGCTGCCGTCGTGAACTCCGCCATTGTTTGCTGCGCTCTGACGTTAGACGTACGCTCGCTTTGCCTTTAAAATTTACCGTTATCGCCCGCCATTACGTGAATAAATTGTGTTTAGTATTTTGCACATAGCTTGCGCCTACTGCCTTCAGTTCCATGACTAGCTTTCCACACTGAACTGTATCTTCTGTGCCTTTCGTGCTGTAACTGTAAAAGTGTAAACTTGTCTTCTTGTAATTAAACAGCGTAAATCGAACTTGAGTGTTTTCTTTGTGTTCCGGACTATAAACTGTAAATTGCCGTGATTCGCATAGTGCTACAAATTGGTGACCCCGACGTGATTTAATCGCCACCATCGAGACGAGTTGACTATTTAGCCCTCTGTCAATCATTGCTACTTTACTGCACTACGTCTTGGTGCGGTGCACATCAGACCACTCTGATACACCTGGAAAGAGCGCAGAGAGCTGTTCTTAAAGTCATCAACTTCCATCCTTTCGATTACCCAACCCGCAAACTCCTAAAGGAGTGCGATGCTCTCTCTGTTCGGCAACTGTTTATTCAACAAATAATTTTGAAAAAGTTCTCCATTATTCCATTTCATTCCGTTACTTTAACCAACCAAAGACGACTCGATATACCTTTTTATCTCGTACACAACTCCGCACAGCGCACTGGCTGAGATTCTTTTACATTAATTTACTTTAAATTAAATTCTTTTTTGCATTACCTATTTGGCCATAAAGAAAAGAACGTCATGAGTAGAAACCGTAAAATTCCGGCTTAAGAGTAAAACTTACAATAAAACAGAGGACTTGCTGGAAGTTTTTCTTAATTATTTTTATATAACAGAAACAAACAGAAAACAAAATTCTAAACAAAATAAACGAATTTTGTGGAAACAAAACAAATAAGCAAAAATAGAGATGATCAAAAAATTGAGTTGGCGTACCTTGTGTTCATTGCAGGTATCGAAATATCGATACCGATAGATTTCAACAAAGTATTTATTTATGTTACTTTTCTAATTATGTACTCCTAAGGTATTGGGCGGAGTTTGTCAAAAAGATGACATGTTTGATCCCATCGATCGACAAATAATATCGCCGTTCTACCTAGATTTATTTCTGCTATGGCGCAAGTGACCGGGCTGTGCGACTCGAGTTCCCACGAGTAGGGCTTGAACTCGAGAAATCTCGGTACAGGCAAGGTGCAATCAGTCCCGGTATCGCGATTGTAGACTCCCGGTACTCCCTACCCCGGAATTACTACTACTTACTGAGCTATGAGTAATATCGACCGGTGGTAATTTCACACGTTACTGCGATTATAATGCTACTTATACTTCTTAATTAACTACAATGTGATTTTACGAATGTTAAGTTTAATATAATATCTCAAATGGATATTTTGAATGAAAACTTTTAGTTTGATAATAAATAGGAACTTCATTATCTACTATTTATTATTCATGGTATTATTATTACGTAGATGATTGAATAGGTACGGATAGCCCGGAAAAAGGATACTGGTTGCAGTTTAAGAGGGAGCAGAGGAAAAATTCCTAATCATCGATTTGATTTTAGAGGGGTATATCTACTTTAAAGTTACAAATAAAATATTGTATGAGTAACTACACGATATTATCAAGCATATACACTAATCAGAAACATAAAACAATAAAGTTTCCTCGATAGACAAAAATCACGAAATGACCTCTAATTTTCACATTTTTTCGATACATCCTCGAAATGCTACAGGTTATTAGGACAAAAATTAGATAATTAATTATATTTATGCATGATCGAGAACTGTCACTACGGATTTTTTTAAATCCCTTTAGTTTTAGAGTTATTCCGCTAAAACGAATTTGGTACTTTTAATGCGCAAAATTCAACATCTCCTGCCGCATGTCACGCGAACTTCAGGCATATATTTGTCTCACAAATGTAGGCGGAGCCAACGTCAAGACTTTTTTGGCATGCTCCCTCTCAAGCTTTTCAAGAACTACCGGGAATACTTATAATAACTTTGGAATCAGACCGGTTCTGCAAGCCCAAACGATATTATGCGAATTGTTGTGACGTTGTGAATTACTCAATTTTTATTTTTTTTACTCAATAGTTACTACTCACTTATAGTTACACATCACTCTCACACAAAATAGAAATTATACTACAATTTATATTACTATAATTTCCTTATAAGTACAACAAGAACCTGCTAAATTTCAATTTTCAACTAAAACCCTAAGCTAATAAATTCACATTTATTCAAAAACTTGAAAATTGCCCAGCAGTTTAACTACACTCCGACGCGCCCGTTGCCCCGTTAGTCGCCATCGGGCGCTTGTCAACGTCGGATTTGTGTCAAATTTTCTTCGTCTGTTTTTATTTAGAATAGAATTATTTATTTCGGACCATGATCCATAATAATGTTAGTAATACAGTAAATTTTACTTACGTGCTATGGTTAGTACAATACAAAATTACTTAATTTTAGTGAGAAGTGCATTGACTTACAATTATATGGACGCGTCGGGTCCGCGCTAAAAAGTGTCCGCACTTGTAAGGCGCTAAAATCGTATACAGAGCGCGACACTCCGCTTTAGTCTTCATTTATTCTACGGACAGCGCGATACTGCGATGACATAACAATTTAAATTTCGAATAGGTTGACTTGGGACATTTTTTTCGTGGTTTTTGTATTAGACCCGTCGTCCATTTATTTATAAGTCAATGCAGAAGTGAGTCTAGACCACTACCCCACGCACGTGTAGTTGCACCCAATGTAGTTGGTAGGGGCAGTCCAGCCTATTGGCAACAACGGTTTAATTATATTAACGATTTAATTATATTAATTTTCTGCGCGCAGTTACAATTTTATTAGATCATAAATTTGCAGTTGGTCGAGTCAACGTATAGAGCTAACTGAGCTTGCACTTACCAATGTTATTCTTGAGGTAGATGGGCGTGGCGAGAGCGCGCAGGCGGCCGGCGTGCAGCGCCGCCACGCGGTCGCCCAGCGCATCCGCCTCTTCCATGAAGTGCGTCGTCAGCAGCACCGTGCGCTCGCCGCGAAGCGACTGCCCAAAAAGGAAACAACTCCCAAATTATGTAATATCTTTATTTATTTAGGAACTTTTGTATAAGTATATGCCAGTTCCATCGTACCCTAAACTATAGCTTACATGTCTGGGCGGCGCTGCTGGAGAGCTGATTCAACAAATGGTAATAGTTTTTTAGCCTGTTTCGTGTGAGGATTGCTTAAAATACAATTTATAGCACCTAAGGATGTTCGGTTGATCTGCAGGTCTCTCATCAACGCCGCCCTCTGTTGTTCGTACCGGACACATTCCAGTAACAAATGATATGCACTCCACATAACTCGCAATTAGGAGAATTGCTTTTTTTTCATTAAGAAAGCAAAACTGTTTAATGGAACGTGTCCGGTTCTCATATTTAGTGCGATGACAACTATTTTTCTACCATAGTCGCATTCTGCAATGGTCAATCATGACTAGTAAAAATATTGATAATATCCCAAGCGGTTAACATTACTATCCCACAGAAATCCACCAGCACCAGCAGCGCTCTTTCACGGGAAGCGAACCTGGGACCTCTGCGTGTCAGGCCGGCATGGTAACCTTTCGGCCAGGAGAATGACTCGTTCGCCCCGTCACTGGTATCATATAAAAAGAACTATGAATATAGGCTGGCTCTTTAATCAAAGTGTTTACCAATAGCAACTTCCATAGTTCTCGTCGATTTTCGATGTCTAGACCCAATGTAGGCTCATCGAGTATGAGCACATTCCCACTCCCAGCCAGAGCGCATGCGAGTTGCAATCTCCGTGTCATACCTCCAGACAGATTCTTGCTCATACTATTTGCCTTGCTTGCAATATATAGGCGATCCAGAAGTTCAAGGGAAAATACTTTCGCGTTTTGGAGACCGTAGCCTTTTAACTGAAAGTGACGTTCCTTTATTATATTATATTATATTACATTTATATTACAGATAGACCCGTAAAATCATAAATCATAGATATACGTAATAATACAAAGAAACACTAATTTATTTACACATATGGGCTGCGACGTGTGACGCAATGCGGGTGTCCGATAACCGGCTTTGGAAATGTCAGCACATGACACCCTTCAGCCAGAATTCCTCGTTCATGAAGGTCCACAGACGTTCAGATGGTATGCTCGTTCACAATTTAAAAAATCATAATTAACATCAAATATGAATGTCAATTATGTAGGCAGAAATGGTGACAGCTGTGGCGTTCACATCTGTTTTATTACCCACCCGCCCCGTTCCTTCTCCTCGTCAGTGGCGGGACTTTTGTTCGAGATAGCTTCTCCATTACGTAGTACATTTACCTCAATGGGTTACGCACGTGTATTTTTTGGTTGGGACAAATACAACGCATTTTTCAGACATCGCTTACGACAGCTTAGCCTGTCCCTAGTCTCAAATAACTGTAATGACTAGCTGAGACAATCCTACGAAAAATCATTAAAACTTACCATAGCGCAGAACATGACGTGCTCGAGCACTGTAAGATCGGAGAAGAAGATGTTGTCCTGCGGGCATAGACCGATTTGCTGACGCACTTCTTCCTGGTGCTGCACTGAGTCCAGCCCATTTATTGTCACTGTACCTTCTGTAGCGCTTATCAATCCTGTCATCCAAAATAACCAAAATTATCCCTTGTGCAGCGCGACATAACTATTACGTAAACTGTCACTCACGTGATGCGGGAACCACGCAGCTACCTCGGGTACCGACCTAGTTAAGCGGCAGGCCTGTGCCATCGAGTATATAACCAGAAATAGAGACGAAATAAGGGCCATCCATTCCTAGCAACTCATCGCGCAAATGGGCCTTATGTCACTTTTAAATATCAACTCTCGTTTGCATTGAAATCACTAATTAGAAAGCTGAAATAGTACAGCGCTAACAACTGACCTGTGTGTACGACTCCGTATATTCCAAAAATATAGTATGTATTTACTGTAACAAAGATAATATCTAACAATGGGAGGCTGTTTCATTCGGTGGTGTGGGAAAAACAGCAAAACATGTATTTACAAAACAAACGGAATCACATTTCATCGGTAATTAGGTAAACATTTAATATGTAATTTTTCAATTTTCGTCCATTATAGCAAAGCTCAAGTTAAACTGGTCAATTTGAAGTGAAACTATTGACGATACCCGTCATTCGAATTCGGGCTAACCAATCGGTGCGCAGTTGTCACCGTAATGATACGGCATAATAGTTTTCATACAAATTAAATGACATTTCGTCTCTACTTCTGGTTATATACTCGATGAGTCTAAGATACTATACTTAAGACTGTATAATGGTGACTATTTATATGGAACAACTAGTATAATAAAGAAATTGACCATCAATACGCGATTTAATCTCAGCCGCACCACTCACATTGTCCTTTGTAGTACCTTACACGCCTCATAACATCCACAGTTCATGGCTTCAACATATTTTAACATAAAATAATTGCAATACTCAACCACGGGTAATTTTGTTACCTGCAATAATAGACATAAGGGTGGTTTTTCCGGCTCCGTTGTGCCCGAGCAGCACTGTGATCTCCCCTTTGTACACGTCCAATGACACGTTGTCCAGAGCTTTCTTGGTATTGTATAACTACAAAACGAAGTATTTGAAAACGCTTGGCGTATTGGCAAGTTGGCGTGAAGAACTTTGTCAACTTATGTCTCTGGGTGACGGGCGCAGGGGCACCGCCCCTCAGATCATTGCGATTTACAGCTCTGACTGGCTCTGCAACTGCTATGGAGGGGAATGACTAGTTCGCCCCGTCACTTTGTATGATAAAAAATAAAATTACGGATCGAAACACGAGAGAGCGCATCTGGTTTGCAGTGCGTGTAGATAAAACTTTTTTTATGATTGTACCTATTGCTAAATGAACGTTTACTACGTACTTTGTATTTATTTATTGTCATATGTACATACATAGTCAGGTGTTACAAATGTGTTACATTACGATTAGAGTGTAGTACATGACCCTGAATAGGGCACTGCAAAGCAAGATATTGAATACAATATAAGAAAATATAATGAAACAAAATAAAAAAAAAATCAAATAGGAATTGAGAGGCGTAAACAAAAAATGTTAAAATTTAAAATTGATGTGAAAACAATTAAAACTAAAGCAAAAAACGTCATGGAGAAGGTCGAGATAATATAATACTTATATTAATTAATATTATAAATTCGTCAGATGGTTTATATACGTGTAATATCTTTTTTAGTTCGTTTGATTCATTGTGTTCATTTGGAGTGTAATTGTTGAAATATTTTTATATTATTTAATTATCTATGTACTATTCATTTTATAATAGCTTTTATTCGTTAAATATTTTTTTAAAGTTTTTAAATAATACATTACCATTTGCTTCGTTTTTTATGTCAGGCGATATTTTATAGGTATTTTCTTACTTTGGTAAGGTTGGCAATGCGGATGCCAACCTCGGCATTATCCAGCGGCTTTTCGAAGTAGAGCGAGTCTCGGTCGTTCGGCATTAACGTCCTTTTTTCCGTACCCTCCATTCCGGAATGCGGAGCCTTTTTTCTTATCCAGTATTGAGACTGGTCAATACAATAGGTTCAACATATTTTCCTAATGCACATGTTATTTAAAAAATACTTAACTAAAAACAAATTGTAGCCGCTCAAAAATTTGTAGAGTCAATACTTTAATGCTAATACTGAGTTGGTAACCCCCTGGGTAGCCTATCACAAACTCGATTTTTTTATTCCGAAATAACGTTTGTTGGAATTTTTATTACACCGAAAACCGAATTATAACGAAACCGTTGTTCTTTCAGGATATGTTGGATGTTTATCGCAAAGACACGATTAGGTTCGGTGAGGTGAGGTTAAGTTAGGTTTAAAAGAAAAAACATTTTCCTCTCAAAAGTACTTTCGAAGTTATGAAAATTCGACCAAACGTTATGTCTGAAAAATGTCATTTTGACCACTGATAGGTAACCAGTCCCTTGGAACCTCCATTGTCAAGCATTCAACACACTAATGATATTCGATATGATGATGGAATAAATTAACTATGATGTCGATACAGATGATAAATATGACAGGGGATAGTGCAAATCCGCATATGTAGCATTGGTAAAAGGAGCGTATCTGCACTAAACCAATTTATGTTGTCCACGGACTGATAACAATAGATTCCCGTAAATCGTGCTAACTTGGTTGGCTCGACAGTTACGCGTATTTGATTTGGTCACTAATTTACCGAAATGGAAACAATCGAATGCTAGTTATGCATTACTGCACTATCCCCGACGAGATGGAATAAAGCGACAACCGAATGATAGCTAAAAAGTGGTTACAAAAATGTGAGACGTCCTGTAGCGAGATGGGTGGATGACAACATTAAACTCGCGGGTTGTTGATAAATGAGACTAACACAAGATCGTGGTGAATGAAAAATACTGCAGAAGGATGCCTGGCCGTGGATGATGTTCTCAAAATACTATCAGAAGCATTAATAGTTTTCCAGACATATTAGAATTGACAAAAGAAAAAACGTCGCTCAGAAAAACAGCAATATTTATTCTAAGATTTTTTCCAAGATCTGTAACGACTATGATTATTTTTCTGTAGTGTATCAATCAAGGTTATTAAACAACAAAAACAAGGGTATTAACCTTAAACAAGAAGTTCAATGGCAGAGGAGTGCCATAATTGCCGGGGCACACTTTGCTGCAATACCAGGCAATGAAAAAGAAGATGATAGTTTGAGTGAAGAGCAACATATAGCAGGCAAACACGGAACCACTGAGCGGGGTGTGCTGCACGAAAATGTTAATTGGTCCTTGCGCTTCTGAAAGAAAAAGTGTCAATTATTTTATTTATCTTCAAAAGAGAAATTAATGTGGTACAAGAAACGGGGATGAGCGCAGCGATCAAGTAGTGTGGTGTATCAAAGTGGAAGAAAAGATGTCAGAACAGAACCTATTGTTTGTTAAGAGGGAGCATGCCAAAAAAAGTTTTGACGTTGGCTCCGCCCAAATTTGTGAAACAAATATATGCCTGAAGTTCGCGTGACATGCGACAGGAGATGTAGAATTTTGCACATTAAAAGTACCAAATTCGTTTTAGCGGAATAACTCAAAAACTAAATGGATTTTAAAAAATCCGTAGTGACAGTTCTCGATCATGCATAAATATAATTCATTATCTAATTTTTGTCCTAATAACCTGTAGCACTTCGAGGATAAATCGAAAAAATGTGAAAATTAGAGGTCATTTCGTGATTTTTATCTATCGAGGAACTTTATTGTTTTATGTTTCTGATTAATGTCTATGCTTGAATATATCGTGTAGTTACTCATACAATATTTTATTTTTAACTTTAAAGTGGATCTAAAATTAAATCGAAGATTAGGAATTTTTCCCCTGTTCCCTCTTAATGAGGTACGAAAGGTTGTAAATGAGAGTGGTTAGATTGGTTATAGGCCAAACGTAGCCAAAGATTGCGTGAAAGAAACATGACAGAAGTAGAGAATGAAAGAACAAAAGGATCAATTTAACAGAAGGTTATCTAATGACTTCTGGCCTACTGTGAAATGGTCTTGTAAAGTCCACAGAGGAGAGTTAAAACACTCGCTACTACATATGAATAGAGATCAGATTACAATCAAATATCATAAAGGAACAAAGAATGCGTTCAACTTGGGTCAATGAACTTTTTTACGAACTTTTTGAACGTTAGCCTAAATATTAAACAAAATTTTTAAACCAGCTAAAATTTTTATAATGAATAAAAAAGCATCAGAACGCCTTTAGTTCCTTTTTCTCATTGGTAATGTTAAATTGGATTTGTATTGGTGGGTAACGCAGAGGCGAAACTTCGTATAATATATTTGAAGGCCATTCTCACATTCGTGCGTGTCTATGGCATTCGCGACACAGGGTTTCTCTAGTGCGGGGCTATGTTGAGTGTGTGCGTTATTGTTATTAATTATTTAATAAATTTTAATTTAAAGTAAAAATTATCTGCATGAAAAAATGTTTAACACAAGCGTAGTATTAAATTACGGGCATATGGGACTTGTCAACTTATGTCTCCCGGTGACGGCTGCAGTGGCAGCGCCCCTCAGATCTTTGCGATTTAAAGCTCTGAGTGGCACTGCTATGGACAGGCATGTGGCTTACCATCAGGTGCATGACTCGTTCGTCCCGTCACTTGTTGATATTTGCAATTTGTTACTTATAATTTGTTACTTCACTAACTATAAGCATCTTGATTGACGACTTCCTTCCAGAACCAATACGTGGGTATGTGCGGCAGCAAGCCCGTGAGGCCCAGCACCACGATGTTAGTCTTCGTCATTGACGCCAGAAAGCCCATTGGCAAATAAGACACGACGTATGCAAGACTGGACAACGTTACTGCGTATTGAGCTGTAAAAAATATTAAAACAGAAAATAAAAATGGAAGTAAATCAATTTGCTACTCCGGGCAACCAACTGAGGTTAAATCATGCAAAATAGCTTTTTTTATATATCAAGTGACAGGACGAACAAGTCGTGCACCTGGTGGTAAGCGACACGTCATAACAGGTGCAATGCCACTCAGAGCTTTAAATCTCATAGATCTTAGGGGCACTGCCACTGCGCCCGTCACCTTGAGACATAAGTTGACAAGTCCCATGTGCCTGTAATTTCACCAGCACCCTTGCCCTTCAAAACCGGAATGCAGTAATGCTGACATTACTGCTAGGTGGAAGTACTACCCTGGACGAACTCTTTCACAGGGAGCTCTACTACTACTAAAAATGCGCTTGTGTTGAATGTTTTTTTCATATAGTTTATTTTCTCATCCTCCCTCCACATAATATTAATAAATAGGGTAAACGCCCAGTTACACGAGGCGAAAGTTTTCGCGAATCTGAATTCTATTTACTAGGCAAAAACTTTTAAATTCCTTTGAACAGTCGCTGCGTAGATCAAATTCAAGCCAGACTCGTTCGCGTGCCCGGGACGCTCATTTAAGTTAAAACGTAAAAGCTAAGTAAATAGAGCTTATTTTGCCATGACAGTAGCACGCGGTCGCTGAACGGTGGCAAAGCGGACTCCGCTCGGCGACCGCGCGGCGTGAGCGCGATCTTAGAATAATAACGCATAGAATGATAGTTTCATATCAAACGAACTGTCACAAGTGAGGCAAAAATCAAATTCATGTAGGCTAGTTTTAGTAGTAGGTTAATTTTCGGTTTTAGTGAATATTTATATAAAAATACAAGTTGAAACGCGTTACTTCCTTGTGGAATGTGATGTTAGTATCTATTTTATGTTTGTCTGACGTATTTTTACACTCATTTACCGCACATTTCGTCATTTTTAGCTAAAATTCTTGAGCTGTTCGCGGTGCAAGTTGACCTTGAGCACTGAAGACCCGCCCGCTCGTGTAGGCCCTTTGGGAGCGCTTCAATTTGCCTCATTTAGCGTGTGCGGACTAGGTTTCTATGCGTTATTATTCTAAGAGCGCTATGAAATTCGTGTCGAATAAATGCCGTTACCGAATACCGTTGATAGTTCGGCTACGGAGGCAGTTTTTATTAAATAAAAGAAACTAAAGCCTAAGGAACTCGTTAGCTTTATGTACCCGGGTGACGCACACTGCGGTCCGTTCATACAAGGTAATGCTCAAAACTCAAATTTCTAAATGTAGGTATTGTAGTCTTAGCTCTACTCTATGAGTAGAACTACTGGCTGAGTGAATATAGTTTTGTATTTAGAATGTATTTGAAAAAATAAGTTAGAAGAAAATAACATCTTGATAGATCTAGAAGTAGCCTCGAAATATAAATATGTGAGAAAATCATTGACTTACAATTATATGGACGTCGGGTCCGCGCTAAAAAGTGTCCGCACTTGTAAGGCGCTAAAATCGTATACAGAGCGCGACACTCCGCTTTAGTCTTCATTTGTTCTACGGACAGCGCGATACTGCGATGACATAACAATTTAAATTTCGAATAGGTTGACTTGGGACATTTTTTTCGTGGTTTTTGTATTAGACCCGTCGTCCATTTATTTGTAAGTCAATGGAGAAAATACAATAAACATCTAATTTTGAAGTTAATCCCAGTTTATATTTATAAAGTACCTCTCGCTACGCATCTTAAGCTACGTCTGATGGCCTCAAATTGATTCAAAAACTCGTCTACATCGTTGAATCCATTAAATCTTTGTGCCGGTATACAATACTCTTCTTGCACTTTTCACTGGTATCAATTATAAAACAATATTAAATAAGTAAAAATATAAACTACGACCTTATGTACGCTTTCCTGGAGTTTTTCGTAAAAACATATAAAAATTTTTCACATCAGTTTTCTTTATTGAAATTTACTTCATCATATGTAAGCTTGCTTCCACCATTTGTAGGCTTAGGTATATTATATATCTCTTATAGTTTTAGTAGTCGTAACAAAGTATTACATCACGCGTAAAAATACTGAGTCGCTAAGTACTGCCAGTTGTGAAATGCATCAGTTGAGTTTTGAGCATTGATTTACAAATAAATGGACGACGGGTCTAATACAAAAACCACGAAAAAAATGTCCCAAGTCAACCTATTTAAACGTAGTGACATGTAAAGGAATATGAAAAAGCTAAAACGTTGAATTTAAATTGTAATGTCATCGCAGTACTGTCTAATTTTGCTTGCTTCGCTGTCAGTCGAACAAACGAGACTACAGCGTGAATGACGCTCTGTATACGATTTTAACGCCCTATAAGTTCGGACACTTTTTAGCGCGGACCCGACGTCCATATAATTGTAAGTAAATGGTTTTCGAATCTAAAGTCAAAGGTTTTGAGCAGTACCTTGTATGGACGCCAAGTGTGTTACGGGCGCAATAGACAGTGCACCTCAGATCTTCGCGAATTGAAGCTCTGTGTGGCACTACAACTGTTAAGAATCTATCAGGCACACGACTTGTACGACCTGTCACTTGATATTTTATAAAAAAACACTTACCATTTTTAGTAATAAAACTGCAGGCAAACGCAAGCGCCATCACAGAGACGAAATACAGCAGTAACATAAAAAATATCAACCAAGGGTTAGTTTTTGGAATTACAGTTAACTTTCCCATAGTGAGGAATATGGCTCCGCTTATACTGAATACGAGACCCGTCGGTAGCACATTGAGGATATGTGATAAATTCAGCAGGCTCACTGGTACGCCCAAAATTTTAATAAATTCCTGAAAAGAACTATTTTTGATAAATAAAATGGAAGGTTCATTTCAAAGCTAGCGAATCTGAATGAATCAATGCTGAATGAATGAATGATATGTATTTGCTTAAAAGATGGTTTACAAAAGGTGGTATAAGTGTACATAATATACAGTACATATTTTACCGATATCGACATGCAAATCTATGGATGTCAACAATTTGGCAGCTAAACAATTCTAAAGCAATTCCTATTAAGTATTGAGATAACATTTTAAAATAGTAGTTATTGCCATGTTATGAAGATGTCAAAAAACAATAGTACATTCGTTGTCAAATAAGTTAAGTGGTTAAATTTATTGAGATTTATGTGTAAAGAAGTTATTAATTGAGTAGAATTTTTTTATCTCTTAGTCATGACATCAGCTTACGTTTAAATAAAAGATTTTCATAAACGTTAAATAATCCTTCATAAAATAACTGATCCTTGTACTACGACTTCCTCATTAACGTTCCGAAACACAGGGATTAGATTTTTTTTAATAGCCCCGCACTAGGAAATCCCAAGATCGCGGGTGACATGGATACACACATAGAACACCACAAATTACACCCAACTCACGAGAGAAATAAATGAATGTCATACAAATATTTACAGACTAGTATGGTAACCGTTCGACCAGAGGCATTTGAACTATTTCTAGGGTCGGTGGACTAAAACATACAAATCAAAATATCCGCATCAGCATTCATCGATGCTGATGTTCATTGCGGATGTTCGAGTCGTGACATGACCCAAAAGGCACGCTGGAATAATTCACAAACCTTCCAGAAACAGACTGTAAGCCGAAAAATCAGGTCAGCTATTGTTTTTAAAATATAACTTTGATAAAATTGCACAACGATTGAGCTAGGCAGATTGATTGTTTTCATGCAGATTGATTCTTTTGATAATATCATTTTCACACAATCATTGAAATAATTACAATTTCTTTTTCTCAGTGCAAATGTGATATGATGAGATTTGGTGGCACTGATCCGGTTGCACCATTTACAGAACCACCTGTGGGCATGATCTAGTTGGAGTTGGAGATTTGTGCTAGCTCTAACAGGATTCCCATCAACGGACAAAAGGGCTATATCATCGGCGTATGTAGTAACTGTGATATTATCCGATATTGGCAAGTCCGAGGTGAAGATGCTATACAGAACCGGGCCGAGGACTGAGCCCTGTGGTACACCTGCCAGAATACTGTACATGTTTGATTTCGCTGCTCTGTGTTTAACTCGGAAGGAACAACCGAACAGGTAGGACTCTATGAAAAGAAACATCGAATGTGGAAGTCTGTTTTAACCTTGGCCAACAATCCCTTGTGCTACACCCGATCAAAGGCTTGCTGCACATCGAGGAAGGCCGCAGAACAATATTTTTGGTGTTCAAAGCTCTGTCGGATCTTGTGGTATTACCCGATGAACTTGCTCAATAGTTGAATGAAACTAACGGATTACAAACTGGTGAGATGGGACATCACAGCACTCATCCATAACTGGTTTCAGCCTGGTGAGAAATATCCTTTCTCAAAGCTTAGACAGCACAGGCGTTAGACTTAAAAGTGCCAGTAAAAGGAAGCCTCTTGTTCAGGTTTCCCAGGTTTGTGGATCATTACTACCTGGGACATCTTCCATATAGATGGAAAGTAACCCGAGAATAGCATTTAACAAGCAAGTTATAAATGTAATGTACTTCTTTAGGAGATTTTTTAAATATTTTTGGAATGATAAGATCAAATTCAGAGGTCTTTTTTGGATGTAATAATCTTATTTTTTACGAAATTTACCTTAGAGAAGCAGGTTTAAGAGGCAAACACATTTGACAGTCCTGCGCTAGAACTGTCTCCAAGCCAAACTCTTCATCGGTCACGTTATCATTCGGCTTAAATATTTCAGCTAGGTGCTTAGCAAATTTTTCCGCCTTTTCCGTGTCTGTTCTCGCCCCTGTACCCGTTTCTGTTCTAATAGGAGGGTACTGTTGTTGGGGTCTATTTAAGTTTTTAGTTGCCTTCCAAAGTGAGAGCTCTCCATGTCCAGTCGAGGCCATCATATGCAAGTTAGTGTTAACTACAGAGTTCATTGATGCATTGATAATACTTCTGAGCTCTTTCGAGCATTATTATATCTATTTTTGTCCATCGGATGATGCGACTGATATAATACCATCCTCATCTTAGACTCATCATAAGGTTTACAAGTGATTCGGCCTTTTCATGAATAAACACATTCGCATTCACTGTCAGAATTACTGGAGTACGATCTGAGGATCCATCCAGGCTTGGTTCGATTTTCATATACATATGAGCCGCACCCTGACTCAGGAAGAAGTCCAGAAGGTCGGACAGCTTTCTAGGGTCATTTGGCCAATATGTTGGTTCACGAGTCGATAAAGATTTCAGGAGGATGTTGTAGGTACAGCGTTTTAGATTACGTCCACGAGTGCGAGTTTTTAAATAAATAAAATCAACATCCGCATCCGCTGATATGTAAGAAACCTGAACCCTGCTTCCAACATCATAAACGATATAAAAATGTACAATTATAATATATTAAAAAATGAAGCACTGTTATGACTTATGTATGAGCTTTAGTCCACCTACCCTGGAACTTAAAAATCGAATCCAATATCTATTTTAGTGTTTCGAAGCCTACCAGAGAATTTGTATAATAGGTAAAGGAGAATACAACATACTTGCACACCAGAAGTGCGTTCCTGAAGCAGCTTAGCCATTAAAAATACGAAGGGTAAATAAAGCGACAAAAAACAAGCAATGTGCAACATTGTTGTAACGAATTTGGGGCTCAAAATGTCGTCATCGTCGTCGTCGTCGTCGTCGAACTCTTGCAGGGTTAATTTCAACTGTAACAAAAATGTGGATTTTGTAGTTTGATGCTCATTTTAAAAGTAACATAGGTGGGTGAAAATAACTTTCAGTATAATGATTTATAATATACATAACCTAACCTCCGGTTAAAAAAACCGACCTCAAAAGTGATTCATCGCATAGTTTACCACCCTTAGAGGTGGAATATTTTCTTCAAATTTAAATGGGACCACTTCTGAGGTACCCTCTTTCCAACAAAAAGGAATCATCAATATCGGTTCACCAATGCACGGTTCATCAATGGCGGAGTTATCGCGTAACATACATACAAAAACAAAACATGCAGATGGATTGCGAACCTCCTCCTTTTTTTGAAGTCGGTTGAAAATGTATTGTTATCTTAAAAAAAATTGCATAACAGAAAATTGCCGAAGGCTGAACTAGATATTATTTTCAAAATCATAATTAAAAATCTAAATCAGTTTGATTATTTAGCATTCAACTACGATTTTTGGAAAGCGCTCGTAAAGTTCAAAAAAATTAAAACCGTAAAATACAAAACAGTGTACTTCAAAAAGTCAAAGTCTACATCCGTAAACTATACTTTATTTGGTCTCGTCGAGACCAAATAAATTATGCTATAAAACAATTTATGTGAAATAAAATAACTTGTAAAGAAATTGTCTATAGACAAAATATTTATACTCTCTGTGTGTGTATTTATACTCTGTGTGGTGTGTATGTTTATAGTCTAATGAACACTGGGCACTAACATACCTATTTTATATTCACTTAACTTCACTAACTCAAAAGGTTTAGTTCTTAGTAGTCTACGCGCTATGTCTGTATTGTTTAGTAGCTGTATAGATTCTTTGTTCACGTGATTATAATAGACTTTATAATCTATGTTCATTTTGTACGAAAAATCATTTTAATAAATTTGCCCAACAGCTGCTGTCCCGATTTTTTCGTCCTATACAATGAAATCGTCTTTATAAGAAGCTGAGTCTATCAGAATTATAAATAGTAGTCATTTTATTAATTTTGTTTCTAAACCTTTTATGAAATTGGACCAACTTCTACATCTGTTCTGATTTTTTTCGTTCCATATAAGAAAATGATCCCTTCATGAAATCGAGCCGATCACCACTAAAAACAAATTTAATCAATTTTATTAATTTTTGTAGCCTATTCCACTTTTAGTAGTTGGTAAATCCCTGGGATTACTTATTGCACCCCTGCCCTGTGTCGCCTGGCCACAGCACGAACCAGGGATTGACAAAGCGGACATCAGAGGGCACGGCAGACCACCGCAGCTATATATATTCCTAAGATGGTTTCCTTGTATGTTCTATGGTTTCGGATTTCTCGATTCCCCCATACTGTACATTTAATAGAAAATTGCCGAAACTTGGGCCTAGGTATTAGTTTCAAAATCATAATTAAAAATCTAAATGAGTTTGATAAATAGGATTCAACTACCATTTTTGATTATGCAAGTGATGAAAAAGGTATTTCGAGATGAGGTATGAAAACGAGGAAATGCGATTTTGAATTTTTGTCCACATCTCAACTTATCTACGCTTTGGTGGATGATACGGCTAAGAAATTGAAGATACTTTTTCTATGTCGGCGCCTTGCAGTTCGAGGTAACTGGAGTCTATCGCCCATTGAACCCGCATGAAAAGAGGGTAGTTCTTGTCTGAAATATGAGAAATATACATTACAATTGATGATTTGAACATTTGTTACACAGAAACGGCGTGAAAGTAGGCACGCCGAACAGTAAAACCGAAGTAGAAGCACAGAGCTCCTTGTGAAAGAGTTTCTCCAGGGAAATTAAAAAAAAAAAAAATTCCTGCCAATTGGTATCATAAAAAAAGAAGACAGTTTTTCGATGTATTTTTTTTTTAAAAAAATTAATATGTATTTTGAATGTGTATCAAGGCCTGCTTCAGTTGTAGTGAACAGGAAATCGGTCCTTGACGACTGTCGTCATGAAAGATGTAGGTAATGAGTAGATCTGTTAGCCTGCTCACGTTGTAATAAACAACGCATTTGCGTTTTGGTAAATATCGAAATATTAGCAATTAAAGCCTTTTTTTTCTTTGAAAAAATGTTAACTAGAGGTTTTTGTTTGTATCGCCAATGATAGTAAGGTAATTTTATTTCTCACTTGATCACAATTGCTCAATAAATGAATATTTGAATGTACTTACCTTACAAATACAACAAGGGGATTCGTTGGGATTTAAAATTGGCGGTGGATCGTTCAGGGGATTAGATGGAAATGAAATATTATAAAATATTATATAAAATATATGCAGAGGCATTGGGGATATACCCGATGGGAATAGAAAATAATATAAAATAAAACCAAACCAAACCAAATGCCAGTTACGCGTTGTTGCCACAGTGATATAAAAAAAACCTCTTTTATGTCAAAGACTCAATTTCGCTAATTGATAGGTATTGCAGGTAACTTTGGGAGACTATGTGGAGCATCGAGTATATAAACAGAAATAGAGACGAAATGTCATTTAATTTGTTTGAAAACTATTCTGCCAAAACATTACGGTGACAACTGCGCTCCGATTGGCCAGCTCGTATTCGAAACAATTGACGGGCAATAATTTATTATAATTGACTGATTGTAATTAGATGTTTTGCTGTTTTTCTCCACACCACCGATTGGAACAGCCCCATTGTTAGAGATGTTATCTTTATTACAATAAATACAGAATATTTTTGGAATATACAGAGACGTACACACAGGTCTGTTGTTGGCGCTGTACTACGTCAGCTTTCTAATTACCCAGTGATTTCAGCGCAAACGAGAGTAGATATTTAAAAGTGTTATAAGGCCCATTTACCTGATGGATGGATGGCCCTTACTTTATTTCTGTTTCTGGTTATACATATACTCGATTGTACATTCTTATAATTCGATAAAATAATGTGGATTAAGTGACTTTTGCATAGATAGTTAATGAGATATTACTATAATTGTAAGTCAATGGATATTACGCACCGATTTTGTTGTGGGAGCCAATTAGGGAGTACTTTCTCTGATCTGAGTAATTTAAATCTTCGTCAATCCGTATGGTGTATCGTAAATGACTGGGCAGTTGTGTGTTCTGTTGAAAATAAAAATACGGAATGTCGAGGACTTAGACTTTTGCAATTGCTATAAATTCATTATAACTTTTTATAAAAAGTACCGACCTTGCCAAGTCTTATTGAAATCAGTTACCTGAAAGTGGATTAATTCCCTAGTTTGCCACCCTTAGAGGTGCAATATTTTCTTCAAATTTAAATGGGACCAATGCTGAGGTACCCTCTTTTCGACAAAAGAAGAATCATCAAAATTAATTCACAAATGCCGAAGAAATCGCGTAGCATACACACAAAAAAATACAGTTTAATTTAAAACCTCCTCCTTTCTTTGAAGTCGGTTAAAAAATGAAACTATTTTTTCCGATTTTGATTGCATTTATTTGTCTTTAAAAGCCCATGTTGGCTTATTACAAGTCCCATTGTCACAGTTGACTCTAGTCGGCCTGTATAGAGCTTAAAACGTTGATTTGTTTAAAAAAATAAGAAATATACGCAATTTAGATTCGAAAACCATTGACTTACAATTATATGGGCGTCGGGTCCGCGCTAAAAAGTGTCCGAACTTATAGGGCGTTAAAATCGTATACAGAGCGTCAATCACGCTGTAGTCTTCGTTTGTTCGACTGACAGCGAAGCAAGCAAAATTAGACAGTACTGCGATGACATTACAATTTAAATCTAACGTTTTAGCTTTTTCATATTCCTCTACATGTCACTACGTTTAAATAGGTTGACTTGGGACATTTTTTTCGTGGTTTTTGTATTAGACCCCTCGTCCATTTATTTGTAAGTCAATGTCGAAAACACAGTTTCCTTTACATAAAACAAAAATCCGAAAGTAAACTGGAAAGTACTATAAACGAGATTCAAGAGTGCATAGGTACAATACGTTTTCGGGGTACCACAAGGAGCGCTTCTAGGACCTCGATTCTTTATCCCTTTATCAATGGTCTGGTCAAACGCCCGGAGAAAGTTGATTTGTTTAAATTTTATAATACAAAAATTAATCGATTTCTAAACTGGCCACCATTATTCTTTGCTTTCTATTTTGTGATAGCTGCTGTCACTAATATACCTCACCTAGTTTTGTTTGTTTGAATTCATGAATATAATTTTCAAGTTATCCTGTGTTGCTTCTTTGTATTTCTTTCTACCATTATACGAGTACCTATTCCCAATACGAAAGAGATGAGTTAGATAGTAGGTATTAGGCAGGTAGCTGGAAAGGTGTTTCGGACCTCAGTTAAGCGTACCGAACTCATCTCTCCTTGGCGGACGTATTTATGCAGAAAGCCATGTACGCGTGGTTGTTCAAATTTGTCATTCATCTTTGACGTTTCCGTGTCAAAGGCATCTTTGAAGAGTCGAGGCTTTTAACTATATCTATAAAGTCAAAGTTAAATAATTTATTTCATAGGTAAGCAAATTATACTTGAAATCGTCCTACTGATTTAACTCTACTGCTCATTCGTAAAGCAGATTCCACAGAAAAGAATGAGCAAGAAGAGGAGACGTGCCCCAGAGATGTTCTTAGTCGGAAGCTACGTCCGGATATTGTCGCAGGACACTGCAACCCGCCTCTCCGACACTAGCCCGGAGCGCTAGTAGAGGACGAGCTAGATATCCACCGGTCCCTCCAGTCGTTTAGGTTTCGGGGAACTGGAGAGACTCTTCGGCGTTGGGAAGTGAGTGTGCCTACAGCTCCGCCACCAAAGAGGAGACTTGTAAGTGGACTGTAGAGTCAACGGCTTAGCGTTGGCATCTGTTAGTTGAGCAGTGTGCGTGTCTCCAGCTCCGGTACCTATCTGGAAAATAGGGAGGGTACTGTATGTGCACCCGATGCAGCTCACCCAAGGCACCAGCCTTTTGAGAATCGGATGAAGTGTGTGCAAAAGGGCTGATCTGGGGTCAGGACCGGACTGAGAAGGTTCCTGTGTGGTCCCTGATTATAGTGCCCTTCCCGTATAACTAAGAGGTTGATACGGGAAGGGCACTATAAACAAAACTTACGTAGAAAATATATGGAACGAGCGTTCACTCTTTGATGCACCAAATTTTTTGCTCAGTGTAGGTAAGTAGATTTCTTGTTTGTGAAAGTACATTTAAAAAATGTTCAATAAGTTTCGGAATCTCTATAGTTTTAAACAGAATTCTTACTACTATAGAATACTATTGAATTCGTCATCCAGTCACCTCCATATTGTGGAATATGACTATTGCAATTACGCCAATATCCATGTCATACTTTTTGTGGTCCTTTCTTGTGGTCACAAAATTTTCGAGAAAAATTTCATCTTCAATTCCAATATACTTTTTATTAGGCACGGAGCCATCTGAAACAAATTAGTTATTATGAAAAACGGCTAATCTGTGTCCAATATTATGTATGACCTGTGTCCGATGTTACTACTATGCCATGTACATAATACTATGATATTCAATTATTTTTTGTGAAATTGGGTACTCTATTGGTTTGTTATAACATATTAATGACTAAAATCAACTTTGATGTAAAAACTTTCAAAGATTTGTCACAGATGGCACAGAAAAAGAAATTGTAAAGTCTGCTAGTTCGCTCCGTAGCTCAGTTTGTGAGAGAGTTAGGCACAGTTTGCTGAAGGCACTGGTTTGAATCCAGTCTGATCGAATTAATTTTTCTTTGTGTCCGATCTTTGTAATAATAATAACAAACTAGTGGAGTTATTTCACAAAAAATAATTTAATATCATGATAGTGAAACATTGTGATATTCAATAAACTTAATATAAAGAATCTAAAAGATAACACAATAAAATCTTTCCTCCGTGTGATAGAGGTGCCAAAGACGACGAAGCGCAGAACACACGGATAGCGCGTTGGCGCGGTCCGTTGGAAGCCAGCATTAAGACGGCTACGTATGTTCAATTCAATAAAATCTTAAGAACCTGCTCTTGTTGAATGACAACACGCAGAGTCGTCTTTTCTTCTAGTTCTTTTGGTAAGTAAGCTTTATCCACTGTACAATACATAAGTTGCTGCAAAAATTCTTCACATGATACTTTCGAATTGTCAGATTAAAGTTCTCGGCACATCTAAATACGCGCCATAGCGCGCGGTTGGAGTCAGGAGCGGCCCTGCTGCTTGATTTTGATTGCCTCTCCCGATCGGAAACTGCGTCTCTTCCGTGTCCAGGCGCATAATTGCGATTCACAACTGGCCGATCGGAAACTTTTGACATTTCAAATCGGAACAATAGTTGATTTAACTCACAAATTAGAAAGATATAGTAGGAATCAGGTTCATCTTCTCGCTCGGAAACCCGTTTGATTTCGAGACTCGGATGGGCTACCCGACCGGATCGGTTCCGATTTGAATTAAAATCAGCTCGCTGGACTCGCCTGTAGCGCGAGGTCGTCCGTACAAGTCGGCGCGGCGTGGTGTGACTCTTGAAGTCACGGGCTGCGAGAAGCTAGCATTATACATAGGGCGCACTATAAGTTTCCGGAACTGGCCACTTACGAAAACAATATTTAAAAAATAATTACAATATTTGAAAATGGAACTCTTTGGCTGTAGAATACAGTTTGTTTCATCAGACTGTCACTTGTTTTTATATTGTGGCGACATTTTAGAAATTGGTTGTCTATATCACTATGGATTTAACTCGTGAAAATTTTCGTAGTATGATTTTCTACGACTTGATGTCAATTAACAGCTCAGCGGAGCTTCGCTTGGATTCAAACTGCTTTTGGTGATGAAGCACCATACAAGACGATTATTTGTAGCTGGTTTGCAGAATTCAAATACGGTCGTGTGAATCTCAGTGACGAATTGCGTGATGGTCGCCCGTCCACTGCTGTGAACAACAAAAACATCGATGCTGTGCGCCGTATGATCATAACAATCAGGCATGTGACGTACCATGAGTCATATACAATCAATACTACACAAACATTTGGGTGTGAAAAAGCTGCGCTCTCGTTGGATCCCACACAATTTGACTGAGGTTAAAAAAACGAATCTCGTTACTTGGTGCAATGCCATGCTTACCAGATTCAACGAAGGGGCGTCAAATTTGGTGTGGGACATAGTAACAGGTGACGAAACATGGATTTATATCAAAACAAAGCAGCAATCGAGCGTGTGGATCTTTCGAGATGAGCCGAAACAAACCAAAGTGGCGCGCGTGCAAAGTGCCCTTAAGCGGATGATTGCTTCTTTCTTTAATAAAACTGGACACTTGGCTACGGTTAGTTTGGAGAATCGTTGTATCGTGAATAGTGATTGGTACACGTTCATTTGTTTGCCGAGAGTGACAAACTCCGTAAAAATAACCGTAAACGCCGTACCATCTTGCACCACGATAATGCCAGTTCTCACAAGGCCAGACAAAATAATGAATTTTTGAATGTGAACAACGTTGACCTTATGAGCCATCCCGCGTACAGTCCCGACTTGGCACCTTGTGACTTTTATTTATTCCCAAAAATTAAGAACCAGTTACGCGGTCAACGATTTTTATCACCTGAAGTGGACAGCCACTGTGGACACACACACGAAGAGTATGAAAAACAAGTTTCAGAGATTGTCACGGAGGAGTGGCATAAATGTTTTCAAAATTGGCTCATTCGTATGAAAAAGTACATTAACGCTAACGGAGAATATTTTGAGAAACAATAAATTCATTTCTGACCATTTAAAGTATTTTTTTCTTATTCATTCCGGAAACCTATAGTGCGCCTCACGTATATACAACCTTGTTTGTACTAGCGCACTCAGTACATGCGTACTCGTAACATGAAAACACGACTAAAGATGAAAGTGTGGGATGAAAATAAGAAAATTTTTTTTTTTTAAAATTCATATTCTTTGTAAAAAAGTTCCATCTTTATTTAACAACACCTATACCAACATTAAATAAATTTAAAAAATCGCTACAGAATAAACAAGATTAGACGAAGTTACCGCCAATCCGTTTTAGAAATCTTGTAGGTATTTTAAAATTTCTAGAGTATTTATAACAAAGAAATTTATATTTTCCCTTAACATCAATGTTCATTTTTGTCAGTACAAGAAACTGTACCCTTGGTGTAATAAAGCCACATCTGCAAAATGACACTTCAGTAGGGCCAGCACGATAGATAGCTATTTTCTCGAGAGCGACATAAATATTACATAGATACGAGTATTGCCAGATCCTATACATGTGCAGCCTGTGGAGCAATTACACTAAAATAAGCATACAGTGCCTTGCGTGTCCAATTCAACAACGCCCTCAGGGGACTGCTGGGGCTGCCGCGACAATGTAGTCCCTCAGGGATGTTCGCGGAGGCTACGATTGATAATTTTCAGACAGTCATTCGCATTGGCATCCCTCTTGGCCAGAGTGAAAGGCTGCACCAACAGTCTTCTTAAGGTGGTATCAGAAAGGATGGACAACCCAAACCTTAAATATTTGATGTCCATCCTTGTTCATGAAAATGAACACTACTTTCTACTAACATAGTTATAAGTACCTACTATCAACTATATAACCAGAAATAGAGACGAAATAAGGGCCATCCATACCTGGCAATCTCATCAGGCAAATGGGCCTTATATCAAAATATCAACTCTCGTTTACGCTGAAATCATAAATTAGAAAACTGAAAAAATACAGCGCCAACAACTGACCTGCGTGGACATCTCCGTATATTCCAAAAATATTCTGTATTTATTGTAATAAAGACAACATCTCTAACAACGGGGGCTGTTCCGTTCGGCGGTGTGGGAAAAACATCTAAACATCTAATTACAAAACAAAAAGAATCACATTTCATCGGTAATGAAATATTAAATATATAATTTTGCAATTTTCGTCCATTATAGCAAAACTCAAGTTAAGTTGGTCGATTTGAAGTGAAACAATTGGCGACCCTCGTCAATTGTTTCGAATTCGGGCTGGCCAATCACAGTTGTCACCGTAATGATTTAGCAGAACAGGTTTCAAACAAATTAAATGACATTTCTGGTTATATACTCGATGGTACCTACTAACACCATATGGACATGTAACTATATCTCTACTGTCTGAAATAAAATTGTTTCATTTCATAAAATGCGAGATACTTACTGCTATTCTCGCATACAGATCTCGCGTTTTATATCGCTCTAGCGCATAAATAGTTGTGCTAGCCCTACATGAGAAAGGTTGAAAAACTCTGCGAACGAAATAATCGTTATTTCTTATGTTTAAATACGAGAATTGTAAAATTTCACATATACATCATTTATTTCATGTAATTCGTATTTATTATGAGTTTCATGTGATAATAGTAGTTTATGAGACTGTTACACAATGAAAGGCATTAAAACACCAGTGTGGGTTTATGAAAAGAGCCGCCAGGCGAGTTTCATAAAAACATCACACGAGTGTTTTATTGCCTATTTATGTACAGTTACATACGCTGCTTTATCTATACACATATTATAAGCTCTCTAGGATGTGATAAACAACACAACAAAACTTAGACAAAACAACAAAAAAAAAATTTTCTCACGCTTGTCACGCTACCATAGTTTCTTTTAATTGGTAGACAAACTGCAGTCGGTCCCAACTATCACATCGTTCGATATCAAGTAACGTGTGAGATTTGCGAAAATTGTTTGCTATTGACATTTCATTTCGAATAAAACTTCATCTCGACTGATATTAGAATTGAGGTCCAATCAAATTGTTTTGTTTTGTCGAGATGTTCGAAATATCAATGTAATAATAACATCGAATGAAGCAATAATAACATTTTCACAGATAAAAAAATTGTTCTAACAAAACAATTTATCTTTATTCTGGTCGTAATTTGCGGTTTTTGAACACATCTTAGTAATAATTAATAATTACAGTTTATATGCCGTTTGATAATAACGACAATTTACCGGAGTATTCAGATTGCTTAGGTTGTTTGAATGCTATAGTGGCGGACAATGACGTTGAATCTGTTATAATTTTAGGGGACTTTAACGCTCACATCGGAACAACTTTTTATAATGAGTTAATAAATTTTTGTACAGAGACAGATTGGTTTTGTGCAGATGTAAATATACTAGGGGCTAATTCAGGCACCTATACCTATATTAGTGATGCGCACGGTGGCAGAAGGTGGTTGGACCATTGTCTGGTTACTAAAGCAGCCAGGTCTACGATAACTAAATGTTATGTGTATAAGGACGTACAGTGGTCAGATCACTTTCCATTATTCATTCATTGCAATTTTAATGTAATTAAAAGTAAGATTACGTTTCTGCCTAGAAAACCAAACAGGGTATTGTGGGGTAATAGAACACCTGCGCAAGTAGAAAACTACACAAAATTATGTAACGACTCTCTGAAATACGTAGATTTACCTGTAGATCTTCAGAAATGCTGTGGTGAATTTTGTAATAACAATCGGCACAAAGGCATAATCTATGAGTTGTACACTCAATTTGTTTCCACACTGAGTTTTGCAGCAAGCTCGGTGTATTGTGAAGGGAAATGGCGTAGAAAATGTGTCGCAGGATGGAACGAGCATGTCAGCACCGCTCACGGTGAGTTTAGAGACAAATATGTTATGTGGGAGTGGTACGACTGCCCCAGGTCGGGTCGTATTTATGACGATATGGTACACGCTAAACGGGTTTTTAAAGGCAGACTTAAATGGTGTCAGAAAAACCAAGACCAATTAAAGATGGACAAACTGGCGTCACATCACTCCAAGTCCGACTTCCGTAATTTTTGGAAGTCCACTAACAGATTAAACGGACCTCATAGCTTACCCGTGAGCGTTGATGATGTGACAGATGAGCAAGGTATTGCTAATCTTTTCAGACAGCATTTTACCGTGAATTCTCCTTTGGGGCTGTCTCGGTCTGTGATCGATGCTGAGTCCTGTCGTGGACTGGTACCAACCTTAATCAAAGCAAGTGATATTCGTGTTGCTTTACGTAATATAAAGAAAGGAAAATCACCGGGACACGACGGTCTCAGCATTGAACACTTAAGATGTGCGGGCTTCCATGTACCTAGGATCCTTGCTTTACTATTTAACTTGTGTCTGGGACACTCATATTTACCGTATGATCTGGTGAGAACGACTGTGGTACCAATACTTAAGAACAGGACGGGTGACGTGTCGGACAGGTCGAACTATAGACCTATCTCTCTCGCAATTATAGTGGCCAAGGTGTTTGACAGTGTGCTCAATGTACATTTAAAAAAACACCTGCAATTGCACGACTCTCAGTTTGGGTTTCAATCAGGGTTGTCAACTGAAAGTGCTATTGCGACACTGAAGCATACTGTTGGATACTACATTAACAGGAAGACGCCGGTCTATGCGTGCTTCTAGGACCTGTCGAAGGCCTTCGACTTGGTCTCCTATGACATCCTCTAGGATAAACTTTGTGCCGCAGGCATGCCTGTGGAGCTGACAAATGTTTTTAGGTATTGGTACCAAAATCAAACTAATGTTGTAAGGTGGGCTAACGCATTTTCTGAGCCATATACCTTGGAGTGTGGAGTTAGGCAGGGGGGATTGACATCACCTGATTTGTTCAATTTGTACATCAACGCACTGCTCGGTGAGCTCAGCGGCACGCATGTTGGCTGCTTTGTAGACGGAATTTGTTTAAATAATATTAGTTATGCCGATGACATGGTGTTGCTGGCGCCATCGATCAGTGCGTTGAGGAAACTTATTGGGATGTGTGAATTGTACGCGGTTTCTCATGGCCTTGTATATAACGTAAAGAAATCCGAGTATATGATCTTTGGGGCGGCCGGTGGCAAGGATCCCAGGTGTACTATTCCAGTATTTTTAGGTGGATTGCCATTGAGGAGGGTTAGCCACTTCAAATACCTGGGGCACTATGTTACCGATCGCCTCAGGGATGATATGGATATTGAACGCGAGCGTAGAGCATTATCGGTAAGAGCAAACATGCTTGCCCGTAGATTCGTCAGATGTACTGCTGCAGTGAAGTTTACACTCTTTAGAGCTTACTGCACATCACTGTACACTGGCGCTCTATGGACAAACTACACCCAGCGCTCCCTGAATGCTCTACGCGTGCAGTATAACAACGCTTTTAGGGCGCTGTTGGGCTTGCCACGTTTCTGCAGTGCGTCAGCCATGTTCGTGGAGGCGCGAGTAGACGGTTTCATGGCTGTACTACGTAAAAAGTCGGCGTCGCTACTGAACAGAATACGTGACAGCCCCAACAGCCTCCTGAAGACTGTTGCGGAGAGATGTGAGTGCCCAATTATGCGGCACTTAATAAATAGTACTAGGTCAATAGTAGAGTATAAGTACTAACATAGTTTTAAGTCTGTACTAACACTTTATGGATCACAGTTGTCTTAAATAAAGAATTTATTATTATTATTATTATTAGAGGGTTTATGATATGTGTGTAGATAGAAGCATATTCGACGTATGACCGCATGTGACTTTATTTATACCAAGAGGGCGATGAAATTTGATTCTTTCAAATTACACAATTTCCTACCGGGTAGGTGGTCGGATCGACTCAGATTTAGCTTTGGCCCAACTTTGTCCGTGAGTTGTCGCGTTTGATTTGTGTCAGGAGTGTACAAAAGAAGGTCTAAATTTCTATAATTCTGTTTTGAGAGTGGGTATGGTACCTGTAAAAAGAAGAATAATTGCATAAGTAATAAAATTGTATAGTGGCAAACCTTTTGGGTCATAAAAATGGGACCTATAAAGAGCCTAAAACTCTGGTTTATATGAAAAAATGTTTTATTTTCAAAGTATACAAATCGCGGAAACCTAATGCTGGGGCCGCACTTGCATCTATCGTCACGGGTAACCTATCACACAAACTCGAATTTTCAAAACACTTTTTATTCGGTGGGTGGGTATATGGGTATACCGGGTATAACGGTGGTCACACCCAGCCATCATCGGCTATCGTCGCGAATGTTGGGGATGCGTACGAGTTATCGCTCGGGTACATTAAAAGGCTTAAGAGTTGCTCACTGCTGTTCTCGGACTGAGTAAAGGTACATTCTAAATAATGAAGGGAAGTGACAAAATGAAGTTGGGACTTTTACATAGTTTTGAAACTGAACTAAAGTTTGTAAGCAATAGAGCTCCTTGTGAAAGAATTCGTCCAGGGAAGTACTGCCACCTTACCTATTTCTGACGCCAAGCAGTAATGTTAACATTACTACGTTCCGGTTTTAAAGGGTAAGGGTGCTGGTGAAATTACAGGCACATGGGACTTGTCACCTTATGTCTCAGGGTGATGGGCGCAGTGGCAGTGCCCCTCAGATCTTTGCGATTTGAAGCTCCGAGTGGCGCTGCAACTGTTATGGACAGGCGTGTAGCTTACTATCAGGCGCACGACATGTTCGTCCCGTCACTTGATATTAAAAAAACCATCATACGGGTTCTAAGGAATGTCCACCATAAAAATCATTGTTAGCACACATGTAGACGTAAAGAAAGTCATCGTCCATAGCCAATGCGTCTGGAAATGGTATTGCGGCCATCTTGGATTATTACACAATCATTAAAACATACGACGTTTCGGCACGCATTACTTCGTAACAAAAATTTTCTTGAAATTACAGGCACATGGGACTTCTTATGTCTCAGGGTGATGGGCGTAGTGGCAGAGCCCGTCAGATCTTTGCTACTTGGTACTTGGTGCAACGGGCTGGTATCCGCAACTCGACGACAAAGCGCCTATTTTGCGTGTGGTGGGTGCAGGGTCCTACTCGTGCCACCCAAGCTCCTCCAGGAATCTCAGCAGCCTCCTAGATCTTTGCTATTTAAAGCTCTGAGTGGCACTGCAACTGTTACGGACAGGCGTCTAGCTTATCATCAGACGCACGACTTGTTCGTTCAGTCACTTGAAATTATAAAAAAAAAAGATAAGGAGCGGCCCCAGCGAACCATCGCTTGGCGTTTTGAGAGCGATGCAACGTGCACGCAGCGACAACGCCGCGGCAGCGAAATCGCTTGGGGCTCTCACCCTGAGATATAAGTCCCATGCGCCTGTAATTTCACCCTTACCCTTCAAAGTTTTTGAAGGGTAAGATTGAATTGAAGATGTGAGCATTAGCTCACATTACTACTTGGCGGCGGAAGTAGGTAAGGTGGCAGTACGTCTCTGGACGAGCTCTTTCACAGGTAGCTCTACCGTTACTAAAAGTAATCACAAATATGTTACTTCAACATCCCTATGGTCACTTACTATGGGCCTCACTTAACGAACTATGTAGCGAGCAATGCTCGTCATTTCTCTACGTGATCAGAAATGAGAAGATCCGTAGAAGAACGAAAGTCAGCGACATAGTTCAAAGGATTAGCAAGTTGAAATGGCAGTGGCCAGGGCACATAGCTCGTAGAACTGACGGCCGTTGGGGCAGAAAGGTTCTCGTATGGAGACCACGAACTGGAAGGCGTTCATTGGGAGTGAGGCGTTGAGGGAGGCCAAAGGTCAGCAGTGGACGTCTTCCGGATGGTACCTATAATGAATATTCCTATAAAATTTTATAAAACAGGTGGGTACTTACAGAGCGTTTAGCATTAGCCATTTGCATTTTCCCGGTCCGACCCATTGGAGGAAATAACTGCTTCCAATATTGACGGCAAATAAAATATATTAATATGAAGTATACCACGGGCAACAGTAATTCCACGGGAGTGAGTATATACTTCCTCCCGCGCACCATAACATGTTTCCACATAAGAACCATTAGTTTTTTCAAAAGTTGCAACGTCATCTTAAACAACTGATTCACACTGCAGCTTGAATTGACGATTCTCACGTAACATTCATTGTATCACATGTTTTGCTCACCGTAACTAAAATAACCGTTAAATAGGTAAAATAATGTACATTATATTAATTAATACACACCTGACTTCGATCTTACAACATTTTAGTAACAAAAAGTCTTTAAGAAGACAGATTACATTTTTTGTATAATTTGCTTAGACTATGGAAACCAAAGCACATGTTATATTGACTTATATAAATCAGACGTTCTATGTATATGACTTTAGACTATGGAATTTTTTTCCATCCTCTAAGTGTATGACCCTTAGAGGATGGAAAAAAAAGTAGTTTATGGTATATGGTGTATTTTTAATAGACATTGATCTTCGATTTTAAAGGCTCTTCTCCTTTTTTTAATTAATTGAAGGCGGTGACTTTTTAGCGTTTCGCCTGCATCCAGTTCGAAAAATAATAGCCAATTTTCAATTTCTGTAAAATGGGTCCATCGATTTGTAACAATGATTATACCAATGTTAGAGTTAAAAATGGCTATGTACGGTAGTTTTGTAATAATAATATAAAAATTATGCGAACGACACCAATGTCTAGTTGAAAAAATCCAAACCCATTATTACTCCATAAAACTTTCTGCCAAACTTGTCTGTCAGACATTCCGACATATTCGTGTTTCATCTTCAAATTAGAGGTTTGTACAAGCACTGCAGTGGGGCGACTGTGCCGATTGCTTGTTTTTTAACGGACCGCAAGGTATTTTTAGGTGACGATTAGTAATATACAAACAAATAGATAATATAGATAACCACATAGACAACCACAAATTACACCCAAACTCACGAGAGAAATAATTGTAGGCCATACAACTATTTCTCCCGGCCCGGGAATCGAATCTGGGACCTCTGCGTGGCAGTCCGGCATGGTAACCGTTCGGCCACAGAGGCAGTTTAACCTATACATTATGCACCTTAACATTGTGACTATAAAGTCACAGAAGTTGCAGTTTCAATGATAATGCTCGTAACTGCAAAATAAAGCTGCGGTATGCATTGACTTACAATTATATGGACGTCGTCGGGCCCGCGCTAAAAAGTGTCCGAACTTATAGGGCGTTAAAATCGTATACAGAGCGTCATTCACGCTCTAGTCTTCGTTTGTTCGACTGACAGCGAAGCAAGCAAAATTAGACAGTACTGCGATGACATTACAATTTAAATTCAACGTTTTAGCTTTTTCATATTCCTTGACATGTCATTACGTTTAAATAGGTTGACTTGGGACATTTTTTTCGTGGTTTTTGTATTAGACCCGTCGTCCATTTATTTGTAAGTCAATGGCGGTATGCTAAGGGATACCGAGCTGGATGCCTGGGTAGCCTTGAGAATACCTCGGCAGCTTTCGGGATGCTTCGGAAGGCCGAATGCAACTATGCGGGGATCCCTCGCAAGCACGATAAGGCAAGCTGGCTCTCCCTCTCGGCAATAGTACAGTCAGTAAACAAAATAAGGTTATTTGAACTGGAACTGACAATAAAAACTTTTACTGTTTACCTGTGTATTGCATCGATGCAATCGCGCATTAGTATCGATGCAATCGCGTTTGCGTTCCGCGTGTGTAACCACTCATATGGTGGTAGAATGAAATTCCCTGCCTATAAACTTGTTCTCCGAACGGTATAACTTTAGAGAGTGAATAGGCATTATTTAGGTGTGCATGCTTGCCTTCGACCTCACCGTCAATCCATCAGGTGTGATGGAAATCAAATACACACAACAAGTCGAAAGAAACCAGTACATTATCAAGGATAGTATTATTCTTGACATGCAAATTCAGTTAGTTAACGAAGAAATAACTGTACCTTTGTTTTTGGAACATTTGCGTCAATAACAGCCATTAACTTATATATAGTGGATGGATAAATAAATAAAAATATTATTTTATACCAATAATGCTATTAACGTTATTTTTTTACTTGAGTTAATTAGTTCAACTTTAATGTCCGCTCCTTCCTCGTGCTCCTACTTACTCCTACTGAGAGGAGCATTAATGTCCTGGTTCTCCTGCTACACATAAAGACAATAAGGAATATTATCAGTTATACGTTGAACTATTATTTAAATAAGTGAAAACCGCTCCAAGAGTTCTTAGCCTTAAAGTCTTGTTCAAAATGGACAGGAGTGAAGGGGAGTGACGTCACGGACGTCAGTGAAACAAGTTGCACAGAGGGGCTCTCTAATTTATTTAGCTTAAAAAAATACTAAACCTAAACATACACAAGTGTACTAGTAGTGCAAGTTAACTTATTTATTCTGTGGTTAACATACAGTGTTTTCGTGATATACCAATGGTGATTTCTGGTATAAAATCGATTTAAAAGTTGATACAATATTCTAATAAAAACAATAAAGGGTGCTACAAAATAAAATTATTTTGCCCGTACCGCCGGACAGTCGAGTGTCACCTTTGGTTAACTTCATATATCCCTCCCTTTGAGGCGTCATCTAGCGAAAACGCAAAGTACCGAGTTGATAACGAATTGTGTGAGTGCGCGGGCGCAAGTTTCAATATCGCGATGGTCGCTAAGTGCAGTGCGTGCGGGAAATATATATCGTCGCAAGAGGGCGCTAATGTCACTTGTTCGCTGTGTAGCAAGTCGCTGCATAGGGAATGTGTCGGTATTGCGCGGACCGCTTCCGTGCAGCCTACATGGAGTTGCCCTGAATGCAAGGCGAAGCGGCCAAGGAACAACCACGACAGTACACCGGTTAAGGGTCAAGAGACCCGCGGTAGCCCTCCTAAGTCTGCCAACCTAAATAAGACCTCTGGCAGCGCTAACATGACGGCCCCCACCCCGCGTACCATCTCCACCCCCTCGACTGCTGCCACTGTTGCCTCGCCGGCGGATGTCTCCGGCAGCGCCGCTTCCTACCAAACAAGCCCCATTGCGCCTCCTGGTGCTGCGCGTCCCGGGATCGATGGTCCGGGTGCGGCCCCCATCACACCTGTCACCACTAGCGCCACTCATAAACGTGAGCTTCAGGAGGAGTCCAGTCTCCTCCAGGAGATTAGGGCTTTCCGGATTGAAATGCGAGAGGCAAGGGAAGAGGTGAAAGCGCTGCGTCAAGACCTGCAGGACCTGAGGTCCATGGTGGATAGGTGCGAAACGCGTCTGGACAGGTTGGAGGCTCAAGTCGAAAAAATAAAGGAGACTAACGCAAATGATGAGGAAGTATTGGCGCATATCAGCGCGTTGGAGGGTAGCGTGGTTCGTCTCCAGACCGAGACGAATGACCGCGACCAAGAATTGCTGCTCAACGAGGTGGAAATTAGCGGCATCCCGGAGGAGAGGGGGGAAAATCCAACGCACATCGCTTTGGCATGTGCTACTAAGTTAGGAGTACCCCTTGACGAGCGGGATTTAGTGGGATGTGCGCGTGTGGGCGGCGCGCGACACGAGCCGGGCGCGCGACCGCGGCCGCTGGCCGTACGGCTAGCGCGCCGCGACGTGCGCGACGGCCTGCTGCGCGCCGCGCGAGTGCGTCGTCGTGTGTCCACTGAAGGCTTGGGACTGAAGGCCGAGCCATGCAAATTCTTCGTAAATGAGCGCCTGACAAAGACGAATAGAACACTATTCTACCAAGCCCGTAAATCTGGTGAACGACACCGTTGGCGCTATATATGGACCCGGGACGGTCGAGTATACGCGCGGCGAGACACCGGCGCGCCGGCGCACCGTCTCCGTTGTGAGGC